GAACGGTTTCTCCTCCGCAGGTCGCCGGTTGATTCCGTCCTGTTCTACGCCATCACTACCCTCCACAACCTCCTGCTGCACCAAGAAGGAGCCAAGATGGCCGTCCGCTTGGCCGGCGGTCTTCAGAAAATGGTGGCTCTGCTCAGCAAAACCAATGTCAAGTTCCTGGCCATCACCACCGACTGTCTGCAGATACTAGCCTACGGAAACCAGGAAAGCAAGGTGAGGAAGGGGTCAAAGGGAGGAAGCTACATGTCAGAGCAGCTGTGAAAGAGCCTAACCTGGTTTTGTTGGCGTAAAGCTGATTATCCTGGCGAGCGGTGGCCCCCAAGCACTGGTCAACATCATGAGGACCTACACGTACGAGAAGCTCCTGTGGACCACAAGCCGCGTCCTTAAGGTTCTGTCGGTGTGCTCCAGTAACAAACCGGCCATCGTTGAAGCTGGTATGTCTTTAACACTAAGGAACCGTTTATGTTGAGTGGCCGTTCCATATGTAACACTGTGCGTCTGTTCAGGAGGTATGCAGGCTCTGGGACTCCACCTGACAGATCCAAGCCAGAGACTGGTCCAGAATTGTCTCTGGACCCTCAGGAACCTGTCAGATGCCGCCACCAAACAGGTGAGGGCAGCTGCAGCAACTCTGTTTGACCGAACACAAGACTGCATAGTTCCAGGATTCCTTTTTATTAGAATATAAGATTAGAATGATTTTTCTTTCTCCTCATCTGAAGTTCCCAGCGTCTTTAAGTTTTCTTCTGTTTGCTTTCCAGGAGGGAATGGAAGGTCTTCTGGGAACTCTGGTTCAGCTGCTCGGCAGTGATGACATCAACGTGGTGACCTGTGCTGCTGGGATCCTTTCTAATCTGACCTGTAACAACTATAAGAACAAAATGATGGTCTGCCAGGTGAGATTACACTCAGTTTACTGGCCTCATTTGCACATCTTTAATAAACTGCAGTCACTCACTTGATGCGTATCCACTGACCATAGAATTATGCAAATTGGAACGACAAAAGTTAATTTGCGTAATGGAAACATGGCAATTTCAAATAAAACTTGCAGTTTTGAATAACGTTTTTGTGCTTGGATGAGCTGGTTTTCCAGGAGTATCAAAATGAGTGTTTTTTGAGAAACTTCTGGGAAAACAGGAAGTGGTAGAAGGAGGATGACAAGGCGGCGTGATTTTTAAATGACCTGTAGCGTGATCATGTGTGGTTTCAGTTGCTTTTCTCATTTAATGGAAACGCCGCAATTGCGAAATAGTTTTTTTCAACATTAGTGGAATATCAGCAGAGTCTTGCTCACGTTTGTAATGTAAACGCAGCTACTCATTCCTATAGTCACTAAGATCTCCCTCTAATTTTCAGCAACATTTTTGTTTTTGTGCATGAATTTCTCTAAACCTGTAATCTGTTCATGCCTCATCCGTTCGTCTGTTGCGTTGTGCGTTTCAGGTTGGAGGCATTGAGGCATTGGTTCGCACGGTGCTGCGGGCCGGAGACAGAGAAGACATCACAGAGCCAGCCATCTGCGCCCTGCGCCATCTCACGTCTCGACATCAGGACGCCGAGATGGCCCAGAATGCCGTGCGGCTGCACTACGGCCTGCCTGTGGTGGTCAAGTTACTGCATCCACCGTCACACTGGCCCCTCATCAAGGTAAGCGAGCACACGCTCCTGCTCTTAATTTATGTTTAAAATATGTAATGAGCATTTCCTAGATTTATATCTGAGGTTTTTGTTAATTCCATAGTGGAGCTCGTACATCTTAAACATGCCGTGTTGTTTCCCATCAGGCTACAGTGGGTCTGATCCGTAACCTAGCCCTGTGCCCCGCCAACCACTCCCCCCTGAGGGAGCAGGGCGCCATCCCCAGGCTGGTCCAGCTGCTGGTCAGAGCCCACCAGGACACGCAGAGACGCACCAGCATGGGAGGCACACAGCAGCAGTTTGTGGTAAGAGCAGCTCACGCTAAACTCCCGTCGTCATAGCTCCAAGATGAGCCTCCATAAGCTCTCGCACACTTGCAGAGCGGCCATAAGAGCCCCAATGACATCCTGTGGAGGGCAGGATGAGCAGGCGGTGCCGGGCTTACCCCAATCCTGATGGAGTGTTTGTGTTAACAGGAGGGAGTCCGTATGGAGGAGATTGTCGAGGGCTGCACAGGAGCACTTCACATCCTGGCCAGAGATCTCCATAACAGAGTGGTCATCAGAGGCCTCAACACCATCCCACTCTTTGTACAGGTATGTCTTCTGTTTGTTTTTTGTTTTTTTAAAACGTGGAGGTAGGAATGAATTTGACTGTGAGTTTCTGTCTGTGCAGCTGTTGTACTCTCCCATTGAGAACATCCAGCGCGTCGCAGCAGGCGTCCTCTGTGAGCTGGCCCAGGACAAAGAGGTGGCAGAGGCCATCGAGGCCGAGGGAGCCAGCGCCCCGCTCACAGAGCTGCTGCACAGCCGCAACGAAGGAGTTGGTATGTCCAGAGGAGGAACGACTGCTTATCATTTCTTCATCATGTTTTATTTAAACAGCCACCTAACTGGTTATATACTAAATCAATGCAAAAGGTTACTTCATATAACGAGCCATAGAGACTATTGAGACGGGGTGATGTGGCTTAAAAACAAAATCAGATTTTTAAATTATTTTCTATTAAAATTTTTCATATGTTTCTGATTTTTAAAAATTATTTTTATTCTAAAAAGACAAAATATATTTTTTGAAAGCGGCTTTTAATTCAATCATCCCGTCCGTGACTAGTATCGAGGCCTGTTGTCATATTAACAGAATATAGATGTAATTTTTGTTTAATGAGGGGGGAAGAAAAGCTTGAATATTTTATTTTTCCTGTTGGTGTTCTTATAAAATTACTACTTCGTTTTACTATTATGACTTTATTTTGGTAATCAGACTTTATTCTTGTATTAATTTGACTTCATGACTTAATTCTTGGGGGGGGGTAAAAGGGTGAAACCAACTAATTATGACCTTTTATATTTGATCAGAGTTGATCTGAATTGAAAAGCCAAATAAATAGAAGCTGTAAAAAAAAGAAGTAAAAAAAAAAACGCTCTTCAAGAAAGATGGCGGCCTTAGCTGCTCACGGCACTCTGTCAATTGGTGAAGCGAAAATCCAGATTTCCCAAAAATCTAAAATTTGGTTAATGGGGCCAAATCAATTTATCGCCCTGCCCTAGCAACGGTAGTGTTTGTCCCAGAGTGCTGAAAATGTAATCATTAAAGCTGCAGCAGGTCCTTCTAAAGCCGACCCTCTTGTCCTTCCCCAGCAACATACGCAGCAGCAGTTCTGTTCCGCATGTCGGAGGACAAACCTCAAGACTACAAGAAGCGCCTGTCTGTGGAGCTGACCAGCTCTCTGTTCAGGACGGAAGCAATGTCCTGGAATGAGGTACTGGCAGCTTTTTCTTCTTCTCATAATGGTCCTTATCATTCAGACTGCTACTTCTTTGTTCACACATTTTATGCGTTTCCACAGACCGGAGACCTGGGTTTGGACATCGGAGCACAGGGAGAGCCTCTGGGCTACAGACAAGATGGTGAGTTACCTTCTCTGGTTGATGCTTCTGCAACACTTTCACACGAAAAAGAGGCACAAACCCGTCAGCGCAGCTGAGTTCATAACCTACTTGGTCTCACTTCAGATCTACAGGAAAGTTTGGCGGAAATCTTAGTAGCTTCAACTTTTTAAAGCTCGGTGTGTGACGTCAGTAACTACCTGGGTGTGTACAGTAATTTTAGAGCCTGCTGCTCTGTTTACCTATCAGCAGTTAGAGGGAACAGTTGTGGGGTCTTATTTGCGTTTCTGCTTCCAAACTTGCTGAATGTTGGTGAACTCATTTACCATCCAGCCGCCGCGGCACCAAGTAAACTGCAGCATAAACTGGGCCTGAATCGCTTCCACACGTGGGCCGATGAGCCACCGTGTAGCCTGCCGGCGGGTGACCTGTGTTGCTGTGCAGTGTTTTGTTGAAATGATCATACTACTGTGTGACTGCGTGGTTTTTAACATGCTTCTAACAGCTGCTTTGCTTCCCCTGCTTCTCCTTCGCCCTCGCTCCCCCCTCCCCCACCCCCCAGACCCAAACTACCGTCCCTTCCACTCTGGGGGCTACGCAGGGGACGCCATGGGCATGGAGCCCATGATGGACCACGATCTGGGTGGAGGACACCACCCAGGCCAGGACTACCCACCTGTAGAAGGGCTGCCCGACCTGGGCCACGCCCCCGAGCTGATAGAGGGCCTTCCACCTGGCGACTCAAACCAACTGGCCTGGTTTGATACCGACCTGTAAATACCAAGACCACCATTACACTACACTTTCTACTAGGTAAGACCCACTTCTCATTCCACTTTGTAGCCTTCTCCAAGCAGCGCAGTGGGGAGTATCCCAGATAAATGTTAGGAGGAGGAGGAGGCTCACTCTGGCTGTTGCATGTCCGGACGGCTCCCGCTCTGAAGCTGTGTGATGTGGCGTTTGATCTCTGTGTGTGGTCCTCCACCAGACCCAGTAGCCTCCACTTCCTCTCCTTGAACGTCTTTTTTTTTTTTTTCTTCTCCTTCCAGCTGTATCATGTGATCTGGATGAACCTGCATCGTGATTCGCCCATATGGAGGAGGCGGGGTCTCAGAAAGTGCCTGAAGATGACTCAACAACAGCAAGCAGTTTCCTGTCTACAGGAGCTCCATTGGGACAAAGTAGATTTTTTCTTTTTTTTTTTTTCTTTTTTAGTGCGGTTCGGTTCTGGTCTCTCGGCTTCATCGAAGGCTGACTTCAATCCTGACACGAAACACATATTTTGATCTCAATGAGCTTTTTTTTTTTTTTTTTTTTTTTCCCCCCAACAACTTTTTTATGTATTGTTTTTTCATTTTTAATACTTTGGGTTGTTTTACTTTTTTATTCCGTTTTAAGTCTGTAATGGTACAAACTGAACTTAGCTTGCTTTTTCATTTTTCTGCATTATGATACTCATTTTTTTTCTACTCCCTTGTATTTTAAGTCTAAGTGTTTTTTGTTTTTCTTTCTAAGTGGTGATGCTCCATCCAAAAGAACTGGATGAGATTTTAAATGGTGTCCAAACACTAAAGGTAATCAGTTGAATTGTATTCTAATGATCAAGTGTAACATTGTGTAGCTTTTGTACAAAAAAAAACAAAAACAAAGAAAAAAAAACATGAATTGGAAATCATGGTCCAAATATCGAGCTATTTTCTTGCTTTAAAGGAGGACACCGACGTGTCCCAGCTGTTCCAAAGGGGGTTAGCTGACCGAGCTGGGTGGGCGTGTCTGTAAGGACAGGGGTGGAGACGTGCTCCTATTGGTCTGCTGTTACTAAGGGGTGAAGTAGTGAGGCGCTGGTTGCTTGTAGCCTGCTGTGTTCTGAAACAATAAAACGGACTGTCATTTCACCCACGTGTCTGTCTCATTTCAGTGAGTTGGACAAACTCTCCTTCACTTATCCAGCACCACCGCCTTTATAACATTTCAAATCTTTTAAAGGATTCTCTGGGAAAGACACATTTTGATGTCGATGGTCTGTACTTTTCCAGATTAATTGGCAGATTCACAGGTGTTTTTGTGCAGGTGAGACCAGTACAATCATTCAGACTTGTAACTCGGCTTCAAGTTGGAAAACTTCTTGTTGTGACTCTGCTGCATCACAGACCTGGCATCAACACAAAGGCCATAGAAATAACATCCAAGTTCTGAAAATACTGACTGATGCAATAATTTCACCCTGCTGTAAGAATTCATTAAACGGCACACTGAGGTCAACTAGAGGAGAGACTGTAGTGATCCTGAGATCACATCATTTATAAAAACTTCACTCATCTGAAGCATGTAAATAAATACCTGGAGAAAACAAATCACTAACTCCAAACTCTTAAATAAAACAAAGCTGCTTTGTAACGGGTCCAAACTCTTGATTCATTTGGTTTATTGGGGGGAAACATCCTGTAAAAAGATAATTAACCTCCAACTTGTAGATTTACATTAATGTTCTACTTGATGGAAATGCACTTAAATGTATGAATCTGAATAAGCTTGAAATTAAGTGAGAAGTCAAAGTGCGGTGAGTGGAAACAGCACAGTAGAATTAGGAGTAACCACTACAAGTGTTGTTCACTACTTTCCTTTTTCCAGAATTGTCCTTAAAAAGAAATTCCATTTTTTCAGGCTGTATGGGAATTACGTAAACACTGTAATTAGGAATGTCACTGCAAACAGTTGGGCTTTTTGTACGATGGTGTATTGGAGCCATTGTGGAGTAAATTTCTATCCAAAAAAACTCAGAAATTTGAAGAGTAATAGAAACTGACCGGGAATTGACTTCTGAAACTCAGAAATGTTCACGTTGTTTTCTAGAAAATCTGAGATTTTGCATCTACAATGCATCTATAGTGTATTTTCTATTTACTATGGCCCTAATACACCGTCATACTTTTTTCTGCCCGATTAGAAACTCTCCTCATGTTTTCCGTATATTTTTCTGTCGCAACATCAACAGCCGAGTTATTTTTAAACACCATTTCACTTTCCTGATGAAGTCTCCGTCGTGCAACAGCAGCAGACGCAGCTGTGAGCCGTCCGCAGCCTCCGGCTCCCGTTGACGCTGAACTGATGCCCTGTGAAACTGCAGGTGACTGTGTGTGTGTGTGTGTGTGTGTGTGGACACTTGGATTTCACACTTGGCAGATCCTTTTTCCAAAGCTCGCTGCACAGCTGTCATTAATAGATGAACTCGCCTGTGTTGCTTGTGCTCAGATTGTATTACCGCGTCTGACCTCGTCCACACTCCAAACGTACAAAGTGCAAAGTATTTATATTTTTAAATGAAATCCCAGTCATTTTTCACAGACTCTCCTGTGAGAAGAGGCCAACATGAACACAGGTCTGTTCTAATCTAAGCTCATTTATGTCTGCGTGCAGAACTGAGTGTTGTGCTGTAGAGGCAGAGTAAAGTAGTCATCGTTGACTGACACAACACACACACACACACACACATACATGCGTGGCCACGCTGAGGGCTAATCTAATGAGTCAATATTCTGTCATTAAAGCCAAATGGGAGCATCTAAATAGACTCCAAGGTCAGCGCTGTGATGCATGTGACAGCCCAAATTACTGCTCATGATGTAATCCTGTGCAGACTGATGGATGTTTTCAAATGAGCTGTCAACTCTGGTGACACAGCAATATTCTTTACCATCACTGATCCAATTTTTGGATGAAGGGAGTCACGACGAACGACCGATATCCGAACCGCGTGACTTGGTGGCGCGTAAAGATCTTAGCATACAGGAGCTGCTGACTGAGACTCAAATTATTAAAACAAATTTATTAAAACAAGCAAAACGTCAAATCCAACCAGCGAAACAAAAATCCTACTTTCTGAGGATGCTGTAGCCCCAAAACAAACAGACTTTAAGAGGGAGCAATCAGTACTGGATTTAGAAACGGTAAGATGCCGTTACTGTTGGGGTCACTCGGGGGTCACCGAAGGTTGAATGACGGAAAAACGTCTAGGACCCAGAGAGCTCCTGGAGGATCTCTGCAGCCCGTGTAGCCACATCAGCAGGACACCTAAAATGAAAAAAAAATAAATAAATTATATATACATATATATATATATATATATATATATATATAAATAATTTTTTTTTTCATAATCTCAAAATGGAGACGGAAACAATGAATTTATCTAACATATATAGTGTATTCTCAATAACTGTATGCTTGTTTTACCTTATAAAGCACAGAAGAGCAAAATGGAATAATAGTCTGCTCCACATGCACTTATAATCAACTACGTTACATTTGTTCTGTTTTTACTTGCATCTGTATCAAAATCATAAAGTTTTACAGATAACATTCTAACTGCAACATGACTGAATAAAGTCCTCAGTCGACACAGTCAGCTCTACACTGAAGATTTTTCAGAAAATCCATCGTCAGCTCAACATAACGGCTCAGACACAAAATGCTTCACAAAATCACTGATCTGGACTTGGAGCCACATGATGAAATGAATAGGAAAAAAAATTAAACATGGTTTCACACATCCACTAAGCACTCCAAATGCAGGTGTATCTATAAGCAACAATATCATTGAAAGTTCAATTATTTCAGTAATTCGATAAAAAAAAGAAAAAAAAAAGAAGAAACTCACACAGATTCATTTCCACAGGTCCGCTCACGCCTCTTAACTTAATTACCGTCCTCATAATTGATCTAATTAAAACGTTCCCCAGAGGCCTCGCAAACCCATGAAAGTTTTGGCATTTGGATAAAGTGAGTGAGCTCAAGCTGCAGAGTTTGGTCACTGATTACATCCTCACACGTTCTGCTAGCAAGTACACACTATGCAGCTACGCAGAGGACGAGGAGCGACAGCCAAGCTAAAAATGGCTTTAGTTTTAATTTTCAGCTGATTTTCAGTATATCTGATCGGGCCACCCTTAATTTACAAATATAATATGATGTTTGCAGGACTGAAATATTCGTTTCCAATCTTCCTACTTATATTAGGAACATATTTCTGTTCATGACAAATATGTGAAAGAGGAGTTTCTGCAAAAGAGGCTGGAATCTTAAACTGTCATTGGCATCTTTTATAAGTAATTAATATTGTTAGCACAGTAATACATTTTCCTGGCGTTTCCCTCGAGAAATTAGATCTTTACCTTAACTTTACCAGCATTTTAAAATGCTCTGCTGCCTGACAGACTGAGGCCGAAAAGTATAAAACAGCGAAACCTGAAAGGTAATATGTCTAGCTTTTAGAAAGTCATGCTCTCTCTCGCCGTCTGGCAGCCTGAATGAGTCGTTGACATGTCTTAGAAGATTTTCTCCCTTCAAATAACCTCATTATGCCTCACTACCTGGTTGGCCATCAGTAAGGGTCAATCGAGTCGATTCCTCTGCATTTATAGGTTTTAGATGATCAGCATAAACAATAAGCAGCTTCTCACATTACAGGGAGAAAACTGAAGGAAAATTATGAGAGCAACACTCAGCATTGTCCGCACCACATGTAGCAGCAAGGGGGGCAGATCACAGCTGAGCAGATGGTGCCCTTTGATGCTCACTTGTTTCTGGAACATATTGTCAGGACCTTACTAAAAATCCCCCCCAAACCCCCCCCCCCCCCACCACCCTTTTGTTTTCTTTTTTTAGTTTGTTTCTGGTTCTGGTCTGGTCATAGTTCCACAGCTGCTGAACGTCAAAGATTTCTGCAGCACATTTCTGCTGCAGCTGCTTCACGAAGTTTGAGCCCAAAAATTAGACAAAGTTGTTTACAGAAGGAGCGTTTTTGGTCCCGCGCGCTGAGTTTGCTGTCGGCGCGGACATCAGAGCGCCTCAGCATTAGCGACGGCTTTGACCGACCTGAACGTGGCGGTGAGCCAGGATCAGGTTCGGAGGGGGGCGAGGGGACTCGAGGCTTTTCTTCAGGAGCTGAAGTGACGCCCCTCCCTCTGCAGACGGTCGGGCTTGAGGGTTTACAAAAAAAAAAAAAAAAAACATTCCTCAGGTTGCCATGGTAAAGGCACAATGACATCATTAGTATCTAGGCCCCGACCTCCGCTCTCCCTCCAAATCGCGTCTTTTCCCCTCTTCTGCCGCTGTCCAAACTCCTCTCATCTTCTCAATTAAAACCTCTCCCACCTCTTCCTGTCCCCTTCCTTCTGTCCACATGGCTCTTCTCATCTCCTACCCCTTTTTTCCTAAAAACCTCTACTTCCCTCTCCCTACTCCTAGATGGGGGGTGGGAGGGTGGGAGGGCGCCAGCCTCGGCCACTTCAAAGCAGAGAGCTGATTTTTGCTTTCATCTGCCAGAGAAACGGGAAAGTGAGGCGAGGAGAGGAGGTCAGGAAAATAGGGAAATGGAGAGGGGCAGTGCATGCTGGAGATACGGGGCTGTGAGGGCGACAAAGGGGGTGGGGGGTGGAGGGGGATGTATAAAAGAGGCGGCGGAGGAGAAAAGAGGTGGAGAGGGCGGGTCGAGTAAGAGGAGCCTCAATGGCAGACCAACAATACACCTTTAATATTGATCTGGCAGGATCTGTGTGTGATTGAGAGACACAATCTGGATGCAGAGGAGGAGGAGGGGGGGGGGGGTAACTAATTGTGTTCCTGTGTGTGTCGGCACAGTGCGCGCGTGTGTTTGTGTGTGAGAGGTCGCTGGTCTCATACATCAAAGGATCAAAGGGAGCATGGTCGCTATAGTGAGAAAACCCTCGGTTCAAAGAGGGAGCAAACATTCAGCCCACACACTCATGAAAAGCAGGCTGGTGCGGGGATGCAGGTGCACATATGGGAACACACACGTTGGACGGGGAGCAGTAGCCAGCGTTTGTCCCTACAGATGTTGGTTATTGATAACTACACAATCAGTACTGGTGTATGAATAAATCGTGTTCTGCTATGTGACTGAAGTTTTCTTCTTTTTCGTCAAAAGAGCTCCAAAAATAAGTTCACTAGTGAAAGAGTATTTTACATCTCTGTCTGTTTTGTGAGCTTTTTATCTGACCTCTTGTCCTTTTCTGCTCTGACAAGAAGAAAAGTGAGTTTTGTTTTAGACAAGATGTGAAAGATATAACTGACATACATTAAAGGAACAGATGTTGTGCTAAAAAGAACAAAAAAAGTTTTCAGATACATGTTTGGTGGGATTTTATGTGACACGTTAGTTTGTAACAATGAATTTGGAGAAAACTGTTAAAATTTTCCACACAAAAAAAAAACAAAACAAAAAAAAAAACAATAAACAGCTGAAATGTGTTGTGTGTGCATTTGTACCTCTTTACTCTGATACACTTAAATAAAATCCATTTGTTCCAGCAGGACAACAACTCTAAATGGTACCACCACAGCTAGAGCAAAATAGCTCAGATTAACTCTAACTGTAATTGTGGGGCAAATCTTGAAAATTGCTGTTCACACTCGGCCTCTACTGAAACTGACAAGAGTTTTATTTATACAGGACAGAAAAAAGGGGCACGAATCTCTTCCTCACCGTGTACAACAGATAAACGCACCTGTTGATTACAGATGCATGCCACACTTTTCAGATTTTTATTGCCAAGAACACTTAAGCCAATGTAACGTCAATGTTTCTTCAAAAATGAACGAAGTGTGAGGTTGTAACTTGACCAAATGTGGATAAAGTTCGAGGGGTTCGAATACATTTTCAGGGCAAAACACATGAAAATAGGTTTATTTTCATGCTTCTTGCAATAGCAAACCTATAATATGTTTCAGTCAACGGTGAGTCAAGAAACTATGTGAGTAGGAGGTTAAAGCTTCTCGTAGGGTCTGACCTGTTCTGAGGAGTGGGCCGGACAGGCGACTCAGCAGGCCAAACACTGAGCTAACAGAGCCTGTTGACAGGCATTTCACCTTTAGACAGAACAAAAACAACTCTGGGTTACGAGTAAGGGAATCTGTGTGACGCTAACCAAGCAACGTTACGGCTACGCGCTACGTACATCAGTGATTCTGAAGTCCAGCTGTTGAAAAGGAGGAAGCCTTTTCAACAGTAAAGATGTTTTGAAATGAGTTGGGGAAATAGTAGCGTAGGCTTCACAGCACAAATATTACTTAGCAACACAGGAGGAAGAGGTTCATGAACGGCCGTCGACAGATGAGAACTGCTCTTAAGGAAACGACGACTCGCTCTCAGAAACAGGTTGGACGGGCTCAGTTATGCGGAAACGCATCGGAGAAGAGCTGCTGTGCTGAACGGAAGGCTAATTCCTCTGGATGTGTGCTATTACAAATATTTACACTGCCCACGCTGTTAATTGGTATGTTTTCCAGCACCGCAAACTGGTTTGAGGCAAAGAGAATGTGTCTGTACAGAGGCCAAACTGGTTCACCCAGAACATCACACAAGTTCTCTACCAATCTGTGATCGTGATAATTAAAACATCGACACCTCGAGTTCTTCAATTGGTTCTGGAACCATTTCTGCAGCATGTCGGCCTGCGTCGTCCTGGCCAAAGAGGCTACTGGATTTACTGGATATGGGATAATGCAGCAGCATTAGATGGATGTAAAAAAACAAAATCCAACTGAATGACAAGATCCAAGTTTCTCAATTAGAACCTTCCTAAAAAAAAAAACATGGTGGTTCTGCAAGCCCCCCGTCTTTGCACAACGTTCTCTGTTCTTCTCTTAAGCACGGGACAAAGACGTCCACAATTTACAACTTGTTTGTTTTTCCACTAGTTTCATGAACGTCCCACAAGAGTTGCAGCTGTGACTCAACTTCACATCGCAATGTTGTTAAAATTACAGTTTGCCAAACCTTTTACCCGAGTCACTTTTTTTTTTTTTTTTTTAAACCTTCTCAGACCACTGGAGTTTTGAAGGACATCATTTTCATTCTTTCATTTATTCCACTTTTTGCCAGATGCCACTGTATTTTTCTCTTCAGCTTTCAACCAATAAACCTTACAAGATCGGATAAAAATAAGAATCAGCATCAGAAAGACGCACCTGTTGGACTCGGCAATATCCTGAAGCACACTGGTCAGGCCCGTTCCTTCAGGACATTCCAGCCAACCAGACTGGTCTGTAGTTTGTATCTGAGAAGAAAAGAAGAAAAAAAAAAAGAGAGAAAAATTCAGTAAAAATGTTTCACAGTACTTTTCATTCTGACAATGGGATGGAAAACTTGAAATCTGGTAGAGAATGGAGCAGCTACTGGACTTTCACACCAATACGGTTCTGGCTGTTATTTGAATACGGTAATGGAAATGAATCAAAATTGTTCTGCACTTCTGAAAACCTAAAACAGATCTCTGGTCCAGGGACATTATTACTTTTTTATTCTGGCAGAATAAAAAAATAGAACAAAAAGTGCGATGGATTTTATTTTCTGTCTCTAAGATTGCAAAGCTGGAAATTCACAGTATTGATGCAGTTGATTTAAAAAAAAAAAAAAAGGAGTTCTTTCTGGAGTTAAAACAATTTCTTCAGTAAACTGTAAGTCGTCCCATACTGACGAGGCACTCAAGTGTGTTACTATCATTTCAAAATTCACCTTTCTCACTGCAAGCCCCTTTTTTTCTGATGTCTGTACTGTTTAGTCATTATATAGTCTGGGTGGTTTGGCTTCCAGGATCTACTTTATGATTCCATCGCTGAACATCGACTCATATGCTGCAGTCTTATGAAGTGTGTCCATAAGCCCCGCCCTAAACTACCTGATATCTTCTCTCCTCTGGCTCTATGGCTGCTCTGTCAGGCCTCTCATCATGGTGATGCCTCTGTATTTTCCCAGAGCAACCCCCCCTCCACCTCCGCCCCCCCAAGAAAACTGAACAAACAGTTTAGTGATAAAATCTGCCTTAACTTTGCATTTAAAGTTATTTTGTAGCTCAAATCTTTAATAACTAACAATGAAGCATGTTTGTGTCGGTGTTTCTTTGTGTGAGTTTGGTGTCTGTGTGCTGATGAGTGGATTCGTGTCACTGTGTTTTGGAGAACATGCTTTCTCTGATCTCTGGTGACATCATCATGTCTGTCTCTGTGGCGACACAGTACAGTTGTTGCTAAGTAACGGGGTTAGGGGGAGAGAAAAGATGCTCCCCTCACTCATTTTCCACACAAGTGAGCACACACACACGCACACCGACTTTTTTTTTTTCTTTTGCCTTCTCCATCGGCGTTGGAGGACCTTCATGTGTGCCTGCCAACCAAACGCAGACATCTCTTCTTTAACTTGGCTCTACCACCTCATCCTCCATTCTCCCCTCAACTCGATACGTGACGAACAAGCGAGTCAATAATGTTGAACTCAAAGTTGTACAAGATGAACCCAGACAGACAGACAGACAGACAGACAGACAGACAGACATGCAGCTCCTCAGACGTACAGCACAGGGCTGTCATGGTAGACGTCGAGTTTAAACAAGTGACAATGTACCTGACAGCACAGAAACGGATTCGCGCCCCAAAAAAAGAAAATAAAAAACTTGTACATGATCCATGAATAACAGAACATTTAGATGTGTGTTTCAGAGGCTGATGGAACGACTGAAAGGATGAGCTTTGTTTGAATGTACGGCTAAGTACTTTGTTTGATGAAAAATTAGCAATAACTGTAGGAGCAAAACAAGAGTTTTGTGTTTTTGATGGGATTTAGCTCCAGGCTTTGACTGGGCCGTGATGCACTTCGATCAAAACCTTGACGTTTTAGCTCCCACCAGAGTTGTGGATCTGTGGAGCTAGTTAGCTTGGGCTGCTGTATTTGTATCACCATTAAATTACCTACAGGACTGTATCTACTAATTAGGTGAATTCTGATAGAAGCTAATTGCGATGGATATTTTTTAGAAGTACTATGTTTTTCTTTAACTTTGAAATTATGAACTACTGTTAATTGGACTAACACACAAACCTCAGATAAAATATATTAACTACATTTTGTGGCTGCAACAAGACAAAAAGTGGAAAAGTTTGCTTTTCCTTCTGTACGAGAAGACATGTCACAGATCATTAACTCCATGTTGCCAGAAGCAAACGAACAAGTGAAAAAAAAAATACATAAACTACTCCACGGAAATAATAAATGCTCAGTTCTCTCGCAAATTATCACACGGTCTTATTGAATTAGCAGTTTTTTTTTTTTTAGTCTTTTCAATTTGTAAAAATAAATTGCAGTCAGATTTCACTAATTCAAAAATGATTTATTCTCCCCTTCCCCTCTTTTCAGTTTCAAAGCTATTAGCGGGATCTTTGATTGAGATTAACAGAGGCCTGAAATCAATGAAAGATAATTAAAAAGCTTTTGTGAAGGGCAGACGCTCGGTTCAGTGAGTAGGTGTGTGTTTGAGACAGAATGTGGGAGACAAATTAAGGAGCACTACACTGCATGGCACAATTAACAGATTCGAATCCAAACATGGAAAGCGGTAACGTCCTACGCCTAAATAGGTCAGGTATTTACCAAGTAGGGTCTGTTTATGTTTTTTCTATAAACTATAATAATAAACTAACTGTTTGGATTTTTTTTTTTTAAATATTACAGATTCGTAAAGAAAAGTCAGTGGCTCTGATTAGGTCGACAAAGACGGGATAGGAAGTGCAGCTCTGCTCGCCTGTCGCCTCCAACACTGAGAGTGACCGCCACGGTTCCTCCGTTCATCAGACTGATTTACGTGTGTGAGCAGAGAAAATCAGCTTAGGATAAAACGGTTTAAACGTCGTTCTTTTCATTGCGTTGCTTGAACTGTGTCGGCCTGCAGCAGGCCTAGAGCGAGCCGCAGCTGAGGCCATCGGTGATTCAAACTTTATTTCAATAAGTATTTAAGCACAGATGGGCCAGTAATGTGATCTTATTCTGTTTTACATTCCTCTGCTCTCATTCACCTGTATTAAATGTTTCTGAATATTTCCTGTACAATTGTTGAATTGAGTCCATTATCTCAGCTGATAATGCTAACGCTATTAGCTCTGCCAACGCTAAGACGCCAACCACAGTTAGTTTATGCTGTGCTTAACACTCAACTTATTCTGTTTATGCTGTAGTCATAGTAGACAGAAAAGGGGTTTTCAAGACGTGCTAAATACCACATCTGCTACTTTCCGTCTTTGCTAAACTGAACTGCTAATCCCAGGTTTGACATCATCACGTCTGCCACTTGTTTGCCATCCTGCGATTCATAAAGATTATCAAGCCACCATCTTGGTAGTCCATCGTGTCATCCAGTCAGTCGATGTGAGTGCTAGGTTCGTACAACACTGAGAATCGATTGTCCAAAATGTTTGTGATTTTTACTTTTGCAAATCATTTTTAAAACATTACTTTATTAAAATTTGTTTTATTTCCCCCTCAGCGTTGCATTTAAACTGCTTGTTTTAAAGCATTACAGCTGTTATTTATTGTGACCTTTCAGAAACATACTTTGGTTCTTAAACATACATATTTTCACTGAACTGTGACATCACTGTATCGTCTTATTAGACATTTTTTACAGGTAAAAAAAAATTATTATTATTATTATTATTATTATTATTTCATTTTCACTTGTCAGCTTAGTTGAATGTTGCTAGTCCAGTTAAAGAGTTTGTTTACTAAAGTATTTTACCTGGAAGTATTTCGTTAAATGTTTACATTTTGGAGAGAAGTTGTTTGTGTTTATTCCCCATTTGATGTTTGAGAACATCAATGTTCAAATTTACTCCATCTAGTCTACAATGCCACACAGAGGATTTTCTGCTATTGATTTCTCATAATCAGGTGGTGCAGGTGCCTGACTTGGTAATTTTGATCTAAATTACTAACTTTGTTAACATTTTTAGCCTTTGGCACTTATTAATAACCAAACCAAACCTATTGCTGTACAACATCAGGAACACTAAGCTGAGTACCAGATATTTAAAATGAATAGACTTAAAATATTAGGGCTCTAAAATGTGATCAACATCATACATTTGATGACTCCAATGTGTGCATTAGTGTGGAAAAACAGAAGAGCTGTGGACCGAGGACATGGGGTATTTTTTTTTATGACCAAATAAATTAGTTATATTTCCACTGGGATGCTGCTTGGTGAATCATCCCCTCGCTACAAGGAAATAGCTGAAATATAGCACTATGTGTTGCTCAGGGTGGAGAGTCAGAGAGAGACGGCACACTGAGGCAGCGCTGGGGTAATGAGGGAGCTTCCACCAAATGACAAATTTGTCAGACAAATAAAGGGGAAAAAGAAAAAAGGGGTCTGTGACACGGAGAGAGAAAGAGAGAGAGAGTGGGTGGTTCAGATGGCCAGAACTAATTAGTGAGGAGAATTACAAATATATCTACACATGCAAATGTCCTCTCCTTACTCTTTCACGCACAGCTACAAAGTAGAGTAGCTTCCAGGCACAGCCTTGGGTCAGTTCATGCAACACAAAGGTGGCAGCTGACCTTGTGTCCCACGTGCAGAAACTTTTTCATGACCCTGCGGCCAAGCCAAAACATTAGGGATGCATTTTGCATAATTCATAGAGGTGTACAGAAAAATTAGACGTGTTATGTGTTTTCGTCGGACTCCCAGCCCAAAAATAAAGTCCTGGTGCAAATCAAAAATGGAGAATTAACAACTCATTACAACCAGAATGACAAAAAAAAAGAACATGGTAAACTAAGAAAGTATATGTATTAGGAAAGGATGCAAACCTTGACGTATTAAGTGGGTTACCGTTCGACGAAAAACGGCGTATCAGGCTCAGCATCAGAGAGTGAAGTGTAAGTCTTGTACTTTGGAACCTTTTTTTAAATTTATTTTATTGCAGGATCATAACAGGGAATTGTGGTACTATTTAATATTGCAAGATGATATTTATTAGGGTAAACATACTGTTTCCCAACTCTTGCCTGTCTTTTCTTTAGTACAATGTCTTTACTTATTCTTTATGGGCTTCAGCATCTCAGCGACTGTAAAACATACATCATGTCAGCAGAGCATTGAGATCAGTGAAACACCATCCAGCAGGCCAATATATATTATTGGCAAGCAGAATTTGCATTCAAGGAACGTTAAATAAAATATCCGACCAAATGTTGCATCCGAGCGGTCCTATGCGATCCCATCATTACAGATATCGACACTGCGATTCAATATATTGCGCACCTCTGGCAGAATGAAAATAGATATTCCTCCAGTGTTTCAAGGCTGCATTTGCAAATAATGCAGCTAATCAATATTTCCAACATAGCGGAGTTATTGATTTAACGGTTCAATTAAAGGGGCCAGCGTTGGATTACTGTTGTGTTAATGCAGATGAAAAAAAAAAAGAAAAAAGTGTCATCTTGTTAAAATAAAGTTTAGTAAATGACAGTTTTCTGCTCGGTGTGAGAAAACCAACAAACTCGTATTGATTGTGTTTGAGGAGCAGCAGCTGTGCTGCACTGCGCTCTCTTCCAGGTTGGCTTTCATCAGAGCAACAAATCACACCGACTATCCCACAAAATTGGACAGACTCTTGACCAGACACTGACAGGAAGAAACAACCCAGCATTTTTCCCCTCCCCTCCCTCAATCCGTCTTGCACCTTCTGTCAGTCTCATTCAGGAGAAACTGCACATTATTCGGGAGAGTAGGAAGCCCGGTATGAGTCTGTGAGAGTTAGAGTGTGTGCAAGTCTGTGTCTAGTTATTATTTTATTATCTCTCAATGGCCCCAAGATTCTCTCCTGCCAGAGCAGAAATTTAGATACATTGCATCAGACGCTGCTGCTGTGTGAGCGACTCACCAGCCGTTTAATGATCCTCAGAGCCGTGCGTTGGACTCGGGGGTTCTCGGAGTTCACGTGAGCGCGCAGGAGATGGGAGAAGCTCTGTAAACACGAAGGCGACAAGCAGTCCTGGCCCTCTCCGCCGTACAGCTGTACCAGTAAGGACAGACACTGAATGGATTCCTCCCACACTTCCTGGTTTTCAGTGGACAGCTGGAGAGACGATGGAAACACACAAAAACCACAGTTCAATTCGTGTTAACGCTAGAATTAGCTGAATTTTAAAGATTATTTACTTTTTTTTTTAGCGACCGATGTTTACGACACACTGTGTTGTGTGTGTAGAGAAACTTTATGAGCTTAAACCTGGAGTTTACAGGGCATTTTTGATTCCTAAAAGCTTTTTTAGCACGGAGCAGGCAAAACGGATGTTTCCTCCTAAATAGACCAACTACAGAGCCTCGTGAAAGTGTGACAAACTGTATTTACATCGACACTACATTATTAAGAAAGAACACAGGAACTCTAAATAAAATACACAGAGGTTTAGGTGGCATCATGGTGACGTTTTGCTGCTTCAGGACTTGGATGATCGTAATTGCTGGAACCGTGAATTCTCCTTTCTCGCCAGAACACCCTGAAGAAGAATGGTTGGGGTATCAATTTGTAACCTGCATTCAGCCAAAATGAAACGATTAAACTTTCTACATTAACAAAAGGTTTACCGGTGTCTAAAGCTACCCGTTTTGGCAGTTTTAGTGATGTTTCACTGCTATTGACAGCGTTTCGCTCACTCACTAATCTTTCAAAGGGCAAAGGGGCTGAGCAGAGGTCGAGAGTGTGTTGGCTGCTCCATCAACCCTCTAATGTGTTCATTGTGTCCCTGGAGACGCCCCTCTTTTCTGGGCCCCCAAGTTCCTTTCTTTCTGCTCTCTCCACAATGCCATCGACTTTCCAGGGTGACTTACAGCATCCTCCGTTCTGCGTGGATTCTTTCTTCTGTCTCACAGGCAGTTTATTTCATTTTTATTTGAGCTGAAAGGCACATAACACACTCAGAATAAAAAGTCAACACCAACAAAATGGAATGCATGAATTAATCTCCTTTTTTTTTTAACAGTGCATTGTTGACTCGTCTTGTTTTCATCATCTGCTACACGATCCACTGCGCCATCATTCCAGAGAACATTTAATTCAGTGGCCGCCCTCAGAAGAAGATGGGAAACATATCAATATTTCGTTTTGTTAAGTTTGTTTAAGTGTGTATTCAGTGCTTGTGGTTGCTCTCTGAACCATTTACATTTCATAAAAGTAAAGATGACAGTTCTTTCTTCTTGTGAGGCAACCCTGTCTTCACCAAACTCTGCCTAGCTTTGAGGGCTATTTAAATCTAAATGTCAAAGGTGATAAGAACAGGTTGCAATTACATTTAAAGAATTTGAATTTTGGTAGTTTATTTTAGATTTTGTGATACTAAATTTAATCTGAACTCTATTAACAGTTTGCACTGAGACTTTGAAGCCACATGAAGGAATGGGAGCGTTATCTACGGCACATTTGATGGACAGCAGAGAAAATAGAACCAGAATGTGAGAATGTTTAAGAGGCTCCTTTGGTTAAATGTTCAAAATTTCTTTCCAAAAAACAAAAAAGGCAAAAATGTACTCCATACTTATCTTCCTGTTTGTGAGATTTCTATAACTATAACAATCATCAGTGGTCAAATGTAAGCTAAATATGCACGGCCATCTTGCTTTTCCTTCATTCTACACACTGTTTATGTTACCTGCTCATCTCTTCTGCTCAAGGCAGGGACAGCATTGTTTCATATTATGCGGTATCTGGTAAAGGTTTTCGTATCTCCTGAAATTTCTAAATCTTCTCACATTTCATCCACAACCAACAATGTTTTTTCTTTGGGTGTCATGTAAAAGGTGGCGTTGCAGGCCAAACAGGAGCGATGTGTAACGCTACAAGGAAATGTTTGGTGTTCGGTTCTGAGCTGTGGAAACTTGATGCTTTAAAGGTGTTCATCACTGCAGGTTTCACCAACTCAAAATTAAATTTTTTTGTACGGCCGTTTTAAAATCATCATGAAGGAAATTTAAGACAAGTCTCAAGGCCAAAATGTACTATAGAAAATTGCATATTTTATACAGAAGAGCCAAGCTTGATTCACAGAATACACATAAAAACGTTCCGGTTGGCAGGAGAAGTGAGACAGTGGCAAAGATGAACCACATCTGGCCAGCTGGCGATAAATTTACACTTTCCAATGATGGGCATAAAAAAACTAGCTAGCTAGCAAGGGTTTTCTGTCGGCTAGTTAGCGGTAGCCTCCTCTGCTTCACGTCACAGATGTCTGACAGAAAAGTCCCACAAAAAAAATAAACTACATATATAGTAATCAATAGACCTGCCAGGGCAAAATTTAAGACCTGTGAATAACTTATTTAAGGCTGATTTACATATTTTTCAGTGAATTTAAGACGTTTTAAGGCCTTCATTTTACATGCATAAATAAGACTTTTTAAGGGTGCGGGGACTCCCTGCATCAGTGAGTTGCATTTTGCGATCTCTCATTAATCTTCAGAGATAGGGCGTTTACACATCCAGAGTCATGGAGGCGAAGTCAAGGCACCATCTCACAGATGACTGTGGAGATGTAATTTGTTTTGAGGGTGGCTGTTAAACTGCAGCTCTTTAAGCTCCGTGTGGATGTGTGCAGAGGCTTTCTCAACATCAGGAAGACCAAGAAACACCACACAAAAGTTAGGGATAAAGTTGCAGAGAGGGTTGAAGCTTTTAAGATCTGTCTCAAGTCATCATCTGAACATGGAAAAAGTATTTCACAACAGCAAAAAAAAGAACAACAACAACAAAAAAAACCCCCCACAGACACAGCTAACCCACAATAACCCACAGGTTGGGCAAGAAGAGCATTAACCAGAGAAGAAGAAAAGTGGGACATGGTAACTTGGGAGGAGCTGCAGAGACTCAAAGCTCAGGTGGGAGATTCTCTTGACTGAACAAGTATTACTGATAGAACGGTTTGGATCAAAGAATATGGATATATCGGAATGGTGCAGTTAAAGTTCAGATCAGAAACTGAACAAGAGTCCAATGTCAAAGTTCGCAGACAATCTGAGGTGGAGCCATTTTCAAAAGAATAATGTGGAAACGTTCAGTGTAGATGTGTTAAATTGGTGGAAACATAGCACAAAAAAAAAAACAACGCTACCAAGATTATATGTAAGTTAAATTAGTCTTGTAAAGTACTGACTAAGGAATGCCGAATACCAAAGCACAACACACTTGCCGTATTTTCTTTTTTTTTCCTCCAAACTTAAAAAAAAAAACAAAAAAAAAACATTAATCATTTTCCTTCCACTCTGGAATCCTGCACCGCTTTGTGCGAGTCCATCACACAAAACACCAATGAAACACAGTTTGTGGCTGGCAAAGTTCTTCGGACGTGAAAACTTTCGCCACGCAGTGCGAATAATCCAGAGACGTACACAAACACGCTGGGAGAAAATGTATCAGCACAAACACAAAAAGGCTGCGAGTGTAAGGTCTCACCATGTGAATGAGGTGAGTGCTGAGTTGGCTCAAGGGTCTGTTGGCTACGAGCAGTTTCTCTGCTGCCTCCGTTTCTGCTGCTGAACAAGATAGCCTCTGGCTCTATACACACGCACACACACACACGCACACGCGCGCACTTTAAATCATTTATAGAGATTTGACAGTCAATAATGATTTATCCAGAGACTTGTCAAGACTTATTCTGACAGTCTGACACAGAAAGACGATGTGATAGACTAAGAAAGGAAATAGTTTACCTGCGTGACGTTACTGCCGCCGTTCCTTAACGAGACGCTCAGGACAACATCGACTGAACACTTTTCTTTGCCACACCAAGTATTTTTAGTGTGCCACAAAGAATTAACCTTCTCGTATTCTGTTTTTTTTTCTTCTTTTGTTTCCCCTTCATCATTAGCGTCCCGGTAATACAGTTTGGCTTATTTTAGTTCAGTCCATGCCTGCAGTGAAACTTCAGGCCAATTAGTAGTGGAATAAGATGATTAATAGTGGCGTACATCCTCTTTCTCCACCAAAGTCACTGCTGTTCTGGGTTGGGGGGTTTTTTTTCTCCCACCTCTGTGCTGAAATATCTGACATACTCTCTCTTGACAAACTGCGAAACAGTTTAGGAAGAGCGGCCGAGTCACGTCCGCTTCCCTTATCGGACCTTATTACCCAAAAGAATTTGGTTTAGGCAGAATTTTTCTTTTTTAATGAGCTTTGCATTTATGGTGGAATTGATTTCTGCTGCACATTTTCTTTGTTCCTTTTTTCCATCTCCATCTCTCTTTCCATGCTTCCTCTTCTCCCCTCTTTCCTCTCTGTCCTCTCTTTCACCCAGTCTTTTACCCTCTTTCCACTTTAGTCCCCTCCACCCCCTTGTCCAGGCATTAATATGTATGCACTGGGCTGGGGTGCACAGTATGGGGAGATGGGGGCTGGTTTGTGTGTATGCGTGTGTCTGTCTATATAGTGAGGCAAGCTGAGGACAAAGCCAGCGGTGATAATGAGGCCGCAGGGACATAGCCAGACAGGCCCCTCAGTATATGCCTGTGTGTGTGTGTGTATGCGTGTGTGTGTGTGTGTCCCAGGGACCTCATGCACTTTCTCCTGAGTCTACAACTTCAATATTGCAGTTGCTTAAACCTGCTAGCTTCTACCTTGTACATCAATGGACACACACTCAAACACACACATGCACTCGCCTTTGGGGGAAAAGACAGAAGGACAACATTTTCAGGTAGATGACTTTGTGATTTTTGTCGGCCGATGTGGGCTCACTGGAGATGAAGAGGCCAAGTATCGGTAAAAAAAATTAAAATAAAAAAAAAGGGTGGAAAATGAAGTACCTTGCAAAAGTATTCACAGCTCTTTAACTTTTTTACAAACTTAAATGTTTTAGACCAACATCAAGTACTGCACAATTGTGAAGTGGACAGAAAACATTAGTTTTTTTCTTTTTCTTTTCTTTTTTTTTTACAAATAAAAGTCTAAGCATCCATTTGAATTCAACCCTCCTGAGTGTAGAAACACTTTTCACTGCATTTACAGCTGCAAGTCATTTCAATTAGGTGCCTTTCAGATTTTCATATCTATAAACTTCAGATTTTTATAAGTCTCTGCAAAACTACATCAAGCTCCATCAGACTGGATGGATAACAACTGTACACATCAATTTTCTTTTCTTGCCACAGTTTCTCATTTCAGTTCCGGTCAGGACTTTGACTGGGCCATTCTTACGCATTAAAATGCTTTGTCTGAACAAACTGCAAAATATGTAGGGTCACTTTCCCGTTGGAAAGGGATTTTCAGCACTACTGTCAAGTCTTTTAGAGACTCTTTTTCCCCACAAATGTTTGGTAATTAACCATCACATACCTGAAGCAGTGTAGTTTTGCCTCATCAGAGCAGAACACCTTCTTCAATGTATGTGGTGTGTCTCCTCTACATGGTTTGTGGCAAACTGCTTGCATGACTTCTTGATTATTGTTTCGACATCTGAAGAAAGTTTGCTCCACTGAATTTTATTTATGGGTATTAGTGTAAAGGGGATTACAAATTTTACTGGAAATAAAAAATTAAACCCACATATTCTTTTCTATCTACTTCAAAACTGTACTTCTTTGAGCCCGTCTATTATATAAATTGTATAAATACATTGAAGTTTCTGGTTAAAATGCAACAAAACATGAGACTATTTTTGCAAGGTGATGTACAGCTTATAAGCGGAAATGTAACAAGTTACATGAAATTATCTCATATAAGGAAAAAAAAAATGCATATTTATATATTGTGTCCTTCATATAATTCTATAGTAAAGATCGGCAGGGTTTTGTTCATTTGAGTAGTCGTACCTGCAGTGCAGTTCGCACAACACCTGATGTTTGCTTTAGGACGTTGTGCAGCAGTTCCAGGAGAGCTTGCAGGACGACCAGGCTGATCTTCCTTCCAGCATGCTTTTCTCCATCAAGGTAAACCTGCGCAGCTTCCGAGAGAGTGCTCACCAACACCTCCACCAGCTCTGTGGAGCAGAAAATGCTTCCAAGTCAGGGCTGAATCTGACTTTCATATTTGTTGGACCAGGAAAACCTCTAAAGATTTCAAACTCACATAAAGTTACTACTCAGGTTAAGGCTACACAGTCAAAATGAATGACGTTTTGCTATTAAGATAGTCACATTTTTTTCTCTCTGCCAAACTTGGTCATGACTAGAATCACAATTTTTATTTAATGTGTGTATATGCTAGTGTGTCTAAAAAAACAAAAAAGTGCAATATTTGTTGCCAGTCATCTCAGAAAGTGAAACCCGTACAAAAAAAAAAAAAAAAAAAATCACATGTAAGAGTGATATAATCCAGGCCCTTTGTTCTAAATTTAATGGTGGGAGCTTACAGATCATGTCTCAGAAAATTAGAATACTGTGACAACAGTTCTTATTGAAAATTGAGTGGAAGGAAGAAGTGTGGTAATAGGGAGAACCGCAGGTTTAGTGAAACCCATTCCAGAAGAGCCGCCATAGACAGACAAATACCAGACATGGGCTACAGATGTCACATTCGGCATGTCAAGCCTCTCCTGAACCAGAGACAACATCAGAGGCATCTTACCTGAACTAATGAGAAAAGGTATCGGACTGTTTTGGGTGTTCTGGGACCTTCAAGTCAGCTGCCAGGCTTGATTGGTTTTTATACTTGGCCTTTACACTGTTTTGTAATGGTTATGAGTAAACAAAGTTCAAGGAATAAAAAGAAAAAGCGCTTTCAGTTGCAATATTCTCCTCAAGAGGATGAAGTCTGAATTTAATATTAGACATAAATTCAACCCAACAACTTTATGTTGCACTAAAGAAAAAGGTATCACCTTCTGGTAAAACAGTCCATTTATTGTTCAGACATGAACCACAACTAAAACAAACTTAATTAATGGGATTATTAAAATAATAACACAATCTACTTCTCTTTCTCCCTTTAAAATAGCTCAAGGCACAGAGACTGACCAATATATATAATATGATCCAGCTAACCTTAATTACTTTCACCACACACAGACTCACCATCCATTGCTCATTATATTTGACAGAACATACCTCCCCTTTTGAAGTAAGTTTAACAAGCTGTTATGAGCCTCCAGAGATGTTGCAGGCAACCACAACCGAGAACGCCTAAACAGAAATGTCTGCAAATACAAGCTGAAACACGAGTCACGGATCCCAATGAGTGCAGCTTTATAGTAAGTCCACACCTCTAGCTCTTCTTTTCTGTTTCTCCGGAAAAAGAAAACAAACAGATGCCCTTAAACCAATTAATATATTAAATCCATCTTCTCAATGATAAAAACTCATCCGGTTTTCTTTTTTTAGTTCAAGTAGATCTTTAGTTAAAAAGCAGATGATGCTCGATTTCGGTTAGTGTAACCAACATTGCAGGCTCTAGAAAGATCAGTCAGATGCACTGTTACTCTGCCAAATTGCCAAATTATTTTGCTGGACGGCACTGGGCTGTTCAAATCAAATAATTTAAAAAAAACTCTGCAGTTATGTTTGAAATATATCTAATAAAGTGGGGAAAAACTGCAAGTAAAGTTTTGAAACTAGAGCCCGAAAACAAGGTTGGTCAAATATTTTTCCTGTAGATTAAAAGAAAAATAAAGTACATAGAGAATCGCTCAAATAGTTGCTTTTGGGAGATTTGGGGGTTGCAATGGTGGAAGCTGCCAAGTTTAGGCATATGAGGGAGGGACAGCAACAAAGCAAAAAAAACAAATAGTCATAGAATTTCACTTAGATTTTATAACTACGGTTTTGTCTTTATCATATGTTAAGTTTTGTCATGTTTTTCAGAATGTTATGGATGTTCAAGCACCTAATCTGGAGGCAATCAGCTACAGATGAACTACAAAAACAATAAAAAGCAAAGTAATATGGAATATTTCAGTAGTGGCATGAACAGCACTTGAAATAAAATAGATATCTAATTTAAAACAATAACATAGTTTTGGTATTTCTGCTCAAGACTATTGCTAACAATAACAATAATATCGCTTCTGCCTAATAATGGTACTTAATATCATTAGGGTAATTATGACTTGAGTTCAGGCTAGCACAACAAACCCACGTCATGACAACGTCTGAATACACAGCAATTTAGAAGTGTCACAGCAGAAAACCTAGCTCGATCAATGTTTGTGCAATACAACATTTAGCATTTATCTCATTAAGACACTTGGTCATTTTAAAGGGTATTTAAAAACATATATATAAATAAATGATGATAACAGTAAGCAGTTACCTTGCAGTGATCTATTTTAGTATTTTGTCATCATCCAAGTTAAAAATAGACATTGTGCAAAAGCTTAGCAGAGTTATCTATTTATAAACTGTATTTAAAACAGTTCTGTTGGGAAACGACACACTGAAATGCTCAGAGCACCAGAGGAGCGAAGAGGAAAACTCATCCGACTCACGAATGGCCAATAAAAACCATTTTAGCTCATGGTAGTTGTAATTAAAGTAATAAAAACACATTGCATATAAATGAATGATTAAAACAAGTTTAACGCTTAATTATTAATTAACATCCTTTCGATATAAAATACATAAATTCCTAGTATTTTTAGTTAAAGCTTGGGAGTAAATGGGTAACTCCTGAGCTCAGTCCAGTCTGACTCAGATAAACAAACTTCCATGTCTGATTATTCTGACATTTAATGACTTTGGTAAACCTAATTCACCTAAAACAGAAAAAAGAAGAAGTTTAGTTTCACTGACTACCAAGAGAGAGAGAAAAAAAATTGTCATTGTGTCTTCAACTTGGAGAACAACCATACCATCGATTTCCACTATGAATAAATGTCAATTCAGTTCATCTCTGTAAGCCTTGCTATTAGGAAAACATTAATATGGAAGACAGATGTTGGTGTAGAAATTATGCTAAAGAGCAAAATGATCGATTTCACATATATGTGGGAGTTTGCTGGGACACCATTTGGGAAATGACCTGAAACAAATTTTGAATGACTTATTGATGCAAATCGCATCGACATTAAGCAGCGCATGCACTGAAGCAGTTTGCTAAGATGCCAAAAATAAAATAAAATAAAATAAAATGCAAGAAAGAAAGAAGAAGAAAAAAAATATATACCATCCATATAAGCAGAGAGGAATGGTTTGTGAAGTGTTTATTTTTCTATAATCAAAGATGAAGCTGTGTCATGTTTTGTCCAAATCTCAACCCTGGACCGAGCTCAAAGACATCTCGGCACATTAAGCACTTCTGAACTGTTGGACTGAATTTCTGATGTTCCCAATGTGTCCATTTCCTTATTAAATCCGTCCGTCTGCTTGTCAGTGTGCCTACAAAACAGGTTTCATATTCCCTCTCAGTGGATAAGCCCTAGGCTTCGTATCTTTATTTAATCAGATTACAGCCTAGACGGTTTCCGTCAATCTGCCGCGCGCGCCCAAATTAAAACCGAGCAATCTTTGAGCGTGCACATGAGAGCAAACTTTATTTTGAAATCACATTTCACTGTGGAATCAGGTTATCTCTCTCCTGCTGGTTCTCTTCATCGCTGTCGCTCGTTTTTAACCTCCCAATTTTCTCCTCTATAATCCCATCCCCTTCCCAAGTGTCTCTGACCCAAATGTAGGCCTGTTTATCCCATTCTTCCTCCCATCAACCTTTCTGCAACCATTTTTACTTCCCCTATTGGTGTTTTTGGCTCCCTTGTCATATTCCCTCCCTCCTGTTCTTTTTTGCCATCTTTTTTTTTCCTTTTTCCCTTTTTCTTGTTCCCTTCTTCTGTCCTATCTCTGTCTTCATTCCCCAGGGGGTATTATCTCAGTCAGAGGCAAATCTGCCCAATTATAAACCTCATCTCCTCTCTCTCTCTGTTACACACACACAGATGCTGGGTTCTTCTGAATCCTCTGCTCCACACACACACACACACACTCACACACACACACACACATCTTCTCTCAGCCTCACACGTACACGGAGGAATACACACAGACACGTTTGCACGAGCACACAAAAACCCACTACCTTGTTTTGCTCTTCTTCACTGTCTATTTCATTGTCTAACAACACATACACACACAGACTTGCAAACCACAGCTACCCTCCTCTCTCTCTCCCTCACTCTCTCTCTGTCACACCTTAAAAAGCCAATTATTCACGCTTCTTCCCTTTTTGCTTTCCTCTCCTCTCCCCTTTCCCCTGTTCTCTCCCATCACTACACCGATCTGCAGAGAGCGACTCCCAAAACAACGGAGAGAGGAGAAGAAGGGCCAAAAATAGGTGACGAGGGATGTGTAAAACTGAAAACAGACAAAACAGAAGACGATGAGATGATGGGAGGGAAAGGGGGGCAGTGGTGGTAGAGGGGGTGGGGGGGTGGGGGTAAAATAGGCGCTGATTAGTTTGGAAAAGTGCGGGACAGTCAAAAACAAAACAGAAAGGACATGAGAGGAATGAAGAAGCAGTAAAGAAGTGGAGATGGTGTTAATTGCCAGGCCAGTGTTAGTGCTGGGTTGACAGTTTCCTGTTGGTAGGGGGGCTGATTGGATGATAATGATGCTGACTAGTGAACTGCTGCACTGCTGACCCAATGGAAACAGAAGAAGAGATGCTGGCTATGAGCTCACCGAGGAAAAGATGGAGAGATGCACACTGAGTCAGTGAAAGGGACGTGGAGACAAATTAGCACGGGTTTCCAGGGAAGCATTAGAGAGTTGCATTTTATGGCCACTGAACAATACAGTTGTGTTCTGCAAACTTCTGTTCTTACTGTCGTTTCCCCTAGTTTGAATTCTTGTGTGCATCTATGCACGTTCAAGATTTGTGTATAAATATTTGTTAGTTTTTTGAATCTATAGTTAAACGTGTAATTGCAATTGTGCAAGAATGACCCAATGTTAAAGAAAGTACTAACCTGTATGTGAGAGTAAAAATGTTTTTTATTACCTTCAACACCACAGCTTCAGCGGACGACAAAACTGCCACATCTTTCTGATGTGAAACAATGACACCCAGATTTCTAAGCTTCCAACTTTAATGTGACGCCTTTCCAGTACAATTCAACTTAAAAATAAAGAAAGGTAAATTTTAGAACATAAAAATACACAATGACCTGGTTGCATGGGCTTAAACTAATACTTGTTGGATTAAAATATGAGCAGTTCTAAATACCAGGCAGTTGTGACCTGAAACCTTCGGGTGTTTGGGAAAAGGGAGTTTAGTTTTTCAGCAACACAGCGAGTCCAATCACACATCAACAGAAGAACGGCTTCACCAGAAGAAAATGCAGCTTTTGAGGTAATCAATTGAGTGTGAGCAGAAAATGATCTGAAACGGGTTGTGGATAAGAAAAGTCTTCAAGATTTTGAGAAGTTTTGCCAGGTGGAATTGGCAGATATAAGTCAAGATGCCGATCATTTCTTTTTGTCATCAAAAAAAAAATTAAAATGAAGATACTTTATCAGTGTTAGCTTGACATACACATTTAGACAACCAGGTTATTGTTACTGCTTTTATGATTATTATTATTTATTTTTTTTTTTTTCAAAAATGAATTTGTTTGATTTTCAGTTGAACTTTACAGGATATATGCGACATTGCAGGTGGACAATCTTTTTTAAATGGTCTCAATTTTTACGTCACAAAATGCTGATATTTTAAGAACGATTTGTCAACTTTAAGATTCGCCGTCCTCTCAGGTCTCATTCTCTAATTTGCTTCCTCCGCTGAGCGAACAAAACATTAAAATGGCACAAACAGAAGAGGAAATGGGTGCAGAGTGTGCACTCACTGTACCTTGCTGATGTTGCTGCTGGTGACTCTTCACTGTGTCTCCGCTGAGATTACACAGCAGGACGACTGCGCTCTGGACTGTTCCACTGGTGACACTGTTGGCCTTCACAAAAGTTGGACGCAAGGTCAGCTTTCACTTTTACTCATGTTATCAACCAAAAGTTCAAGTTTTACATCTCTACTTTTAGCCAGAAAATATCTAACAACAACTGTGAAGAAGTAAGAAATGGAAAAAAGGAAGGATATGGACTTTAAACTTTATTTATGCCTTCTCGGTATAGGCACAGTTTATGAAAACACAGAAAAAGAAAAAAAAAACCTTCTGCAGGGTGATAGTGATTCATTTCACATTTGATTTGACACCAAATCAAACGCACTATAATCTGACAACGGTTTTGCCACTGTCGACCAAAAATCTTACATCTCCACTTTAATTTTTTTTTTTTTTTTCTGCCATGAGCCTAACATAACCTAACGCTCCTTTAAAATTGATTAACAAATTTACCTCAATGGGCTGGGGTGATCGGCAATGACTTTTTTAGACACAGGTTTGAGTTTTAACTTCTCGACAGTCTGAAGCATCGGTGAAGCTCGGCTTTAATTCAAGTGCTGCCTTATGCAGACACAGCTGTCAGCGCCATCCCAGAAAATAGTCCCATCCTAATGATCTTTTTTGTTCTCATCACAGACTGTGTGCTCGTGCACTCAGGCAGATTTGCTGTGACACTTCTATTGATAGAAGCATGGGAAATGAAAAGCAGCCGTGTTCTCTCTGGGAAGAATACCAGATGTCACATTTTGCACAAACTGATCCTTGGCGGGCAAAACTAGAACTAAAAGGTTCAATTATGTATTTCTTCTAGAAGTACTGGAGAATAGTAATATGAGATAATTGTTTATTTTAAGAAGAAACAATGTTTCGAACTGCAGCTTTTGCCTTCCTCATACTGCCATCTCCTGAATGCCTCCTTCTCCTTTACTTCTACCCTTGCTCCTTCCAGCTAACACTTTCACCTGCTAATAGGATCTGCAGTCCTTACTTTTACAGCTTTTTCCCATTTCTCCTTCTTCCTCCTGCCCCCGTTTCAGCATTTGATCCTTTTAAAGATATGCCAGCTCTGCCTCCAGGGTCTGCGTACATCAGTGTGATCTGTGTACGGGCTGCTAAGTCAGGCTGGTACTCATCAGGTGAAGTTGCCTGAGGCTGAAGACAACGGCATCCGTTCACACCTTGGACAAACTGCCTTTCCGTGACGATGCTAAACCTATTTGATTTTTTTTTATGAACTATGAAGGTCACAAAAATACTTTATAGTGAATACAAAAAAAACCCTAAACTGAACAATAACAGTGAGCAAAAAGCAGAGGTTATTTTAATTTGGATCCTCCTAGAAGGCCCTCTAGAAACTCATGTGAAAACAATGTAACTAACAAGAGTCTATTGTAAGCAAATGAATCTAAGCAAAGGCTCAGCGAGCTAACGGTTAACAAGTCCGTTTTAGGCGCCATCCTGAGGTCCTTTTACGTTTGAAGCAGAACTACTTCATCATGTAGACAAATACAATTAAGAGAGCTTCTCTGTGAGAAGTGTGATCAGGAGTGACAGGTGTGCTCCGTCTTGATCAGAGGATTTCAGGCAACATAAATCAATCCATAGGTGAGCAACACAGACAGCTCTAATGGACCCAGACATGAGTGGTTCAGACAGCAGTAAACAATCAGGAGACGAGTTAATCAGGCTGTTGGATAAGAGTGTTTAAAAATTCTGCATCAGCTAGTCACGGTTGTGAAAGCAGCCATGTCGAACGCTCATTATTTAGGATGGGTGTGGATGTGTGAGTGTGTGCGAGGAGGAGGTGGGGGGGACTGTTTCTTGCAGCACAAGTATTTTGCTTAGCTGTAAACAGATTGCCCTATGTTGGGTGGGTGCATTAGAATGTGTGTTAGCAAAAAAGGGTCAGGGGAAATAAATTGTTTACTGGCAACGCTACTATGCTCCAGTGATAACAGGCAAATGGTGTGTGTTTGTGCATGAGGTCTTGTGTTGGGTGTGAAGAGTGGAGTTCATATTCCAAGTCTATTAAGCGTCCCTCCTCCCTCGTGCTGACCTGCCAGTCAATTACACAAGCCCTCTAATAGGTCAACGCCACTCCAACTCATTTGCATAGCGGCTGGATGGAGCGAGCGAGAGAAAGTGCAGAGCAAGACTGAGAGAGGAATAAAAAAAAAAAGAAGAGAGAGAGATGCACTGATAAGGCTTTCCGGTTTTCCACTGAAGTCTGATTCGACAGGTTCGATTTTAACTAATTCAGATTTTTCTTTTAGGCACTATGACACATTAAAGAGGAAAAAATGCCCTGCAGGTTTTTTTTGATAAAGCTAGTAGTTGTGGATCCAAGAGAAAATGAATAAATTAAGAGGATAATCCCCAAATGTGTGTCAAGGCACATGTCCCAAACCTTTATCAGATTTTTTTTATTAAACTCAAAAAAGTCCTTCGAAGTGCATGCTGTTGGTTGAGCTGTTTATAGGCTGAAAATGGCGGGAGCTCCTAGTTTAGATGCATTTAACGAGTTAAGTCTGAAGACGAGGAAACTGGAAGCGCTTCTGGGTTCTTGCTACAGCCTCACATATAGTTGGTGCTGTTTACGATATCCTAGCTACTCGAGTTCATACAAGAGGAATCTTGTTTTCACTGAAAAAGGACAAAGTTACAAACATAATCAAAGTAAGAATGGGTGAAAAAATATTAAAATTACATTAATTTTACATAGAAATTAAAATACTGGCCAATGTGTTGGTCATGCTGCTTGCTTTAAACAAACAACACGTTTACGTAGGTTTTGACCTACCAATCACTGATCAGAGATTTAAAAAAGGGGAAAACTGACTAATTCAAATCCCTAGTTGACTGATTGGGGCATCTCTGTTTAATATAACACACAAGTTTGTTTTATCTGTTGCTTTCTCAGCTGATTTTACGAATAGTTGATTGACAAACATTATTAAACTGTTTCTTACCATAATGAGCTGAAGGACAACTGAGAGGATCCTGCCCTGTTTGATCAACCTGAAAAAGAGAGATAATACCAATACTGAAAGAGCTGTAGACAAACCAAGGTCAAAATTCATTTTATGGATTTTCTACACTACTCACACATGCATGATCTGCACACAAACACAGACTTGCAGACACATAAATGTGGATTGGACTGTTTAATCTTCATTAAGGGCAGAATTAACTCCACCGACGCCTGTCTGACACCAGTGAAACTGAAAAGAGGAGACCTCTCCTCAGTTTCTTAAAGAGCAGAGGTGGCAAGAATAAATGAAATAAGGAAAGGTGCGACAGAGGGATGGAAAGACATGGAACGAGAGTGGAAGAGAAGACGGGGACAATTATATTCTTCAAGGAGAAAGAAGTGCGGGATTATAAAAGAGCAGATTTCAACAGAGAAGACAAAGGGATGATGGGAAAAAAAAGAAAAGAAGGGTTTAAAAGGGGAAAAAGAAAGAAAGTGAATCAACCCCCTTTGAAAGACAAGAGGAATATAGATGAAACGGAAAAAAGGGCAGGAAAGAGATGGCTTTACAATCTCTTCTGTAATTTATCAAGGTTCTTTGATTTACATCTAATTACCATCTGGACAAAGCATCTAAAGTGGTTTAAATAGATGTCTTATTTACATATATGTGCATTTTAAAGCATTAAAGCATTCATGTCGTAATGGGAACAAAGTTAAATCGAAATAGACGGGTGTTAATGCGTTGCCCAGTCATTTATCATCAGTCTAATTATGATCCATCGCTTGTCGAGCAAACAGTCAGACAACCTTTAGGAGCTTCCATTCAAACAAGCTAACTTAATAAAGTGTGCAAACACACCGACACTGGTGAAGATGTTCCAGCTTACAAACGCAAGATTTAAGCCTGATGCATCTGAAAACAACAAACATTTCAAAAGTCTCATCTCAAATTGTTCTTTTTTAAATTAATTACTCATGATATATATATATTTTTATTTTTTATTTATTTATTTACTTTTTACATTCATTTAGCTGTTCTTCCACCTGCCGAACGCTGCTGCAGTCCTATGACCTATTTTTTTATCTTACTTTTTTAGGATCAATAAAATTTTCATGTTTACTGAGAGCGTATTCTCCACACCATTACCCCAAATTCTCAGCCATGTGCAAAACAAACTGAGCTTTATTGAATCAAGCACTTGTTTTTACTGTTATGGCCTAAATTTTTAACTTCAGGGTGTTTCAATACTAGAAACTCGAGGGGAAAGAGTTAGCTCATACTCTGGTTCGTATCTGCTGACTTCTGAATGTGCTGATGTTTTACACAGCATGGAGAAAGTTTAAGAGATGCTGGATTTAGCATCGCTGATGGAAACATTTACTCTCCAACTGCTCCTTTTCTCACTTGTTGAAAACTAAAATTTTCATCCTTTATTGTGATGAAATTCATTGCCTACATCTGTGACTCTAATGTAGATAAGTCGAGCTTATAACAGATGATTAAGCATCTGTAATTGCTGTTGTTTAAGTTCATTCTTTTCAGATGTTTTCCTCAAAGCTGAGCGCTGAGTTAGTTTGTGTGTGTTAGCCTCTGCGCGCGTGTGTGTGTGATTGTGTTTGCTTGTACATGTGATGGATGATCCCCCATTATGGAGCTGACAGTCTGAAAGATGAGAGGACAGACCAGGCCAGCACAACATGATAAACTGGGCCACCTTTAAACTACCAGCCATACATCAATTGACAAAGTGCACAACACCGAACGAACCAGAGCACAACACATGACCTACAACGGAGCAAAAACTGATTAATCAATCCTCATTATGTAAGCCATAAATTAAATTTATCAAATGGTTTTTACAGTGATTTGTATTGTAATGAAGAGAAATACAGGGAAATTAACAATATTTCAAAAATGTTTTTTATGCATTTACTCACGTGGGAGAAAAAATGATCGCCTCTTGGCCAATTCGTACCCCCATTTCGTCCCAACCTACTTTCAACAAACCATGTGATTACATATTTACCAAAACAACTGTGTAATTTAGTAACTTGCGTAAATCTTACGCACAGCTGAGGATAACTGTATACCATTTTCTGTAGCGTTACAACGTAATTCTATTTATTTGTGCTGTGTTTTCCATTATTGATCATGTGACTCTAAAACAACCCAGATTATGACCCCTGATCTAACCATAATAACTGAAACTTAAGTCCTATTTATTACATTTGGGTAAACAGAAAATTAGGCCCAATTTGTACAGAACAACTTATGGGAGACAGAAAGCAAGTAGGCTGACAGTGAAACAACGTAAAGTGCAAAGGTAATGGCGAAATGACCTCCACCCAGGAAAAATACTTTCTATTGCTGTATGTACAGCAGCAAAATTGAGTTTATTGAACAAACTAACAAGGGTAAGATTACACAAATAGCTTGAAATAACGAACATTTTCCTTCTCCAAACTAAATACACAATACTTCTTTTAATGATACATTATAATTGTGTTGTTACAGTCTGCGATAAACGTATTGCGTAGGCACACACCATCTTCTTGCAGCATTCTTGAGGAATCATAACCCACTCCTCATGACCAAAAGGCCCACACATCATTTATATCCTTGGGTTTTCAGGTTGCAAACACATTTTTTTTTTAATCCCAGCAGAAATTTTCAGTAAAATTCAAAACACGTGATTGGGACGGCTTCAATACGGCTGTATCTCTCAGCTCTTTTGATGGAGTAGATCCTCCTCTTTGTGTGCAGGTACAAAGTTATGTTTCCGCTTTCCTAATTTTCTTTTTCCTATTTTTTTCAGCTCAGTCAAAGTTGGATATAGTATGAACTTTTCTGTAGAAACTGAAGCCTCCTTGGCTACTACCACCAGGTTTTTCTCAAGGTCTTCTTAGGCTGAGGGGTTCTGTCAACTTGCCTCCTCAGGAATCTGGTGGCAGGTCGTCTTTCTGCCAGGTCCAGGTGCTGTGATCCATGTCAATCTAGCTTTAATCAAGTCATCTATGCGTCCAACTGAATCTTTCACAACAATTAAAGGCTTTGCTATCTTTTTTTTGTATCATTTGTTTGTTTGTCAAAGGCAGTTATCTCTGGGACAATAGTCTGGATTTAGCCATATTTCTTACATGTGATATTAATAGCCCCGGTACTAAAGGATTTCTATGAAAGGCTCACTAATCATGGCTCTGTTCGGGTGTACCTGAAAACACACCTCATTTGCATATGCATGTTTTTTTAGCGGGGTGGAATAATTTTGAGATTGCGGCATTCTGATCAAAAGCACCATTTGGTGTTTGATTTATATAAAATCCTTGTAAAAATTTTTTTCTTTATTTAAACTTTTCTTGTGTACTATTTGCACAAACAAGTTAAAATTTTGCATTGGGGATTGGAGTCATTTTTATAGCAATTGTGTGTGCATAACATATCTATACGCAGTCCCATAAGAAAATGTGTTATTTGGAAAGCTAGCTACAACACATAAACACACATTTCCCACAGAAGCAGACATTTAAGAACATTAAACATTGATGGGAAAACACAGTTGCAACCCCACAGGAAGAGGTCTTTGGCTAAAGGTCATAGTAAATGTAGTTGTTTGAAGGTGTCTGGACTGTGATAATGAAGAGAGAGACAGCAGGCTCCCTTCCCAACGTTAATGTCCCCAATTTACCATCTAATTACCACTCGGCTGGCTTCATAGCCACACTTATCTAACCAAGACCCAGGCAATTTAATTTCTGATTGTAAAACCGAAGCGATGGAGGGAAAGTTGTGGAGTGAGGGCAAAGGGAAAGAGCGAAATGTGGAACGATGTTAATAAATTAGAGATGGAGAGAGAAAGAGAGCGATGGAGATTGGAAAAAAAAAAGTTAAATGTTGTTAATAATGTCAAACAGAGGGAATGAAAAAAACTCAACGAGAAAAACAGATGTAAAGAGGAGAGTGGGCTGACACCAATTTGAAAAGTTCACGTCACTCTACTTGTGTCAAGGAAAGAAGGAGACGAGGAGAGGTGGATGAAGAGAAGGATGAAGACAAGAGTGGGGAAAATTACAGATAAGAGAAGTGGGGACGTATTTAGTTATGCAGATGAACTTTTAACTCTAACAACTGGTGGTCGGGAATGTATGGAGAGCAGGTTAATAGAGATTATTGCCTTATTTCCGCAGCAGATAAAACAAGCAGAAAAAGCAATTGGAATAAAAAAAAAACAAAACACAAAAGGTAACGTAATGGTTTAAATTAAAAGTTGCAATATTTGAAAGATTAATGAGTGAATCTTCAAGTCAGGATAGGACACAGAACTTGGGCATAAATGTTGTCTTGCTCAAATCCACATTAAGAGAAAATAAGAAACCACCTTTGACCTCAACATTGCTAACAGCTACATAAAGTCTTTGATAACAACACAGATAGATTTCAGTGTTGTGATGCATTTATCTTTCTGTTTCAACCTTTCATTTACCCGGCTAATCCAGCACATGATCACTTCTTTCTCAGCGTGCATCTCTAATAACTACACAATGACGAGATTGATGTCCATGGAATAAAGATCCACTCACATTAAACTCACCACCAAATCATGGGTGAGCATGAATCATTATGTACTTTGTTAAAGTTTATTACATCAAAGGGTGACCATTTATTGTTATAAATTTCTTATAAGAATTTGGATTTATCTTCACAACTATAAATTCTGAGTACTGATGTTTGAAAACCTCATGATCTAATCGTATTGTCATGATTGCATTTACTTCTTTTTCCACTGTTGGTTCCTTGAGAGCATCAACACATCTATCAATAAATGTTTAAATACGATCAAAAGTGCAGTTGATGTGTGACGCTTAGTGATAAAAAGTGGAGTTCTTTGTGTAAAAAAACAAACAAGTAAGAAAAAAAAAAACAGGGAGGATATTGTGAAGAAGTACGCATCCATCATCAATTGATGTGGAGGAAAAGGACCGATGCACACACAGGAGGCAGGCAGGATCATTTGTAAGGTGTTATACTAAAGTTAAACCAAAGTGGAAAACAACAGTAAGAAAAACTGCCTAGAGAGAATAACTGAGAAAAACAAAGTATGCTATTTTAAATTGTGAATATTATACAACATAAAGAAAACAATCAAAAAATAAGAACCCAGACAGATAACTCAGATTACAGGTTTAGAAACAAAACAGAGACCATAACCTCATTACAAAGAGTGATTATGTGTCATAAAGAGCAAAGTCGGGAAATGCTTCACCATGTAAAGCAGATTTATCCTCCACATGAACTAAAACAACAGGAAGCCAAATTAGCTTGTGAAATTAACCCAACAAACAAGAGCCAAAAATATGACGTAAGTATTGTAATAGTTTAAGTAGAACCAAAACTCCTTGTGTTTGCTCAATAGATCTCCAGGAATGCTTTCTTAACTCTATGATGGCCATTTTCACTCACTGGAAGCTAAGTAAAGCTCAGTCAGCCAAAAACCACAGTGCAACCATGTTAATGTAACCATGAACACATTAAACACAAGCACATACACACACATACACATGCAGACTCACACACCCTGGTAAGGCATCTCATGGTTAGACAAGGAATCAGCAGATTTTCTCTGCAAGAGCAACACATCATTATCTCTTGTTATTTTGGTGCCAGATGACTTCCTTCACAAGAGTTGTTTTTAAATTCCTGGATAGTGAATCCCTTCTACATTATGCAGAGATAATTTTGTCCTAGTGTTGTATATTTAAAGAGGATGCATTACATTTTTAAGCAAATCTCTTCAGGAGTAGCTAGTTCGCAGAGATTTCTCAGCACAACGTGTCAATTCAGCACGCACTTAAGCTTATGTAGCACCTAATGCCTGTCACTACAGTGATTACTAATGCAGGGAAGTCTGGCTTTTAAGAAAGGTAAAACAGGTCCACTTGAATGCAGATCACCAGAAGTGCTTCAGCTGGAAAGTTGTTCTTACTATTAGCTGTGAATCTGCACACCCGAATAATCATTCGGGTGTGTTTTGTATCCAGCAAAGAGCAGATAAATCACTGCTCGTAATACAAGTGAGTGTGTGTGTGTGTGTGTGTGTGTGTGTGTGTGTGTGTGTGTGTGTGTGTTTGTGCATTTATGCCTGTGTGCGCCTGGATAGTGATTCCCAGAGCTGAACTAGGAATCACTGGCCTTGGAATTAAAACGTTACACACTGTGGTGTTTGTATCGGTACCTGCAAGGACTGCAAAGCATTTAAATCAGAACAAGTGTATGCAACGTGAATTAAAAGGTGTCTCCACTACACGTAACATTTCTGTTACTTCAGCATAATTAGTGATAAAGGTTTTCTGTAGGTCTCTTTCATTACACAACCCTTCATAGGTCAATTCATTGCATTTTGATGCGTATTTCTTTAGATATTTGAGTGAATAAATGTACCTGCAGATCTGAGTGCTGTGTTCAGTCATTGATACCAGCAACTTGAGTGCGAAGAGCGGGATAGGTTCTGCCGCACAAAGAAGAACTTCGAACCTGGGCAGAAACAAGTTTAGTATTTAGTGTATGATGCTTCGCCAGAGGAAGGTGAGGTGACTAAAGCTAAAAGGGAGTTAATGCAAAAAGGAAGGGCAGAAAAAATTCAGTAGCTTCAACCTTTTAAAACTGGGCTGTGAGAGGTAACAAAGGGAGTAAACTGGTAGATCAACTCATACAGTTGTGTAAAATCATAGCATAATGTTCCCTTTTAGGGATTTGGTTGACCTTGATATCTGATATAAGTATCAATTGTTAATATCAGCTCAATTTGATTTACTGGACTGATACCAATGTGTTAAAAATGACTAATGCAGGCCAAAAATGTTAGTGCCGGTATATCGCGTATCACTGCCTTTTCTTTTTCTAGCCAAAATAGCAACTTCATGAGACCAACAGGTTCTTAAAAAATGTTTTTAAGAGATATAAAGACAATAAAAGTATTAAACAACTTTTTTTTCACAAAATATATTGCTATTCAGGGCCAGAAAATTCTCTGTTTCTTAAATAAACAAACAAACAAACAAACAAACAAACGAAAAAACACAATTAAAAATACAGCAAGTCTGTCAGGAAAGGATTTGGGAGACTAAGCAACCTTGAAAGTAGAGATTTGGTGAAGACAGATAAGACTTGGCTGCAGGATCTTCCATCTCCACTTCTTTCAGCTGCTCCTCCTTCTGTATCTCTCCTGTCTCTCTTTTCCTCTACTTTGTCCTCATTTTCATCAGCATTTTCGTCGTCTCTTTGGACGAGCATAACCAGGCTGAGTTCAGACAGCACCTTCAAAACAAACACCGACCACTCCACTGTAACGGGGAGAAAGAGAAACCGAATATAAATCAGTGTGTACAGTTTGGCATTCATGCGTCTGTAATAAATAGGAGACTTTAGACCAGCATGTGCTGCTGGTGTTATTTGGCTGAAATGCAGCGTGTCATGTTTTATGTGCATCACTTTCTGATTTTTGATTGCCAAGACGCAACATTTTATTTACCTAAAATCCCCTCATCTACTGAGAAACCATTGGATCAGCTGATAGACAGCTTGCAGCGAAGGTGTAAAGGTGCAGCTGTATGTTTCGATCACTAGCATTGCTCGCCATGTCAGTTTCTTTAAAGGAAAAACTACTACTAACAAAATGGTGTTACAGTGCAGACATAAGCTAAAACAGCACAACTAATATAGCTAAAGAAGTAGCCTCATTACATCATTACAATATAAAAAAAGAAATGATAAAAATGTATAAAGAGAATGAAAAAAAAAATCCATGCTAACAAAAACAGCCAAGGGCTCAAGGTTACAAAACATTTTAGACTAAAATGGAATGACAAGTAACAAGGAAACAAGATGTTAATGGCAAAATCCCTCCCCCCCCCCTTTACCCTAACAACCAGCTCTGCTGTGTGGGCCTTTGGGCACCCACAGCGACTACACATTAATGACTCACAGAGGGTCTAAAACAAAAACAATGTTTTAAATTACTGTTAAGAGTGATTTACACAAGCTACTGATTCTCCACCTTTAAAAAATTCAAGGTTATCTGTTCTGGTTTATATTCTTGCTTCTCGTTAGCATCTGATTTCCAACTATGCACCCTGACTCATAACATAAGCCCCCCCCCCATCTTTCTCCATCGATACATTACAAACACTTTCTTTTGTTTTATAACGGATATATTTCAAGTGACAGGGAATGGAAAAAAAGAGAGTCTGTTTCTCCTATTAAAATGATCCTATCCCTGAAAACTTGCTATTCAGCTTTTTCAGTTCCTTCCCACTCCCAGCACTCTGATACTAGCCTCTCTTTCTATTGCTATTCTGTCTAATTCGCTTTATTAAAAGTGACACACCACTCATACCATTTCTGCTGAAAGCCAGAGTTGTCAGAGGAGGTAGGACAGCATCCACAACCTTCAGGAACAGAAGAAGACAGAATGTGGCAGAATCATTTACAGTCTGGCGAAATGCAAGTCCAGCCGGAGATCATATGAGAACGTGAAACAAATCACATCAAGCAGTAACAGAAGGAAGATAGTATCAAGCAGTATGTAAAAGGAAAATTGAACTGTCCTATATACAGCATTAAAGGGATAGTTCATGATTTTCTGCAGTAAGGTTCTGTTAAAAGGTAAAAAGCAGTTAAAATCATATGTGCAGAAGAAGATGACTCTCATGTGGTCTTCATTTAGAATAAAGCCAGATTATTTGGTCTGGAGGCAGAAGCTAATAGCGAGAAAGTAAAAAAGGTCAAGATTAAAGCAAATATCTATAAGTTCAACCTCAGAAACATCATAGCTGTTGTTGGGAACATCATTTTATGAACCTATGCAGTCATGTCTACATAGGATGGTTATTTAAAAAGAAACCATTGGCTTCCAGGAAGTGGTGTACCGTCACTGATGGTACACCACAACTGTATGAAACACGTAGTGAGAGTTTCAGATCAGAGAAACTGTTGAACAAAATAATAAAGCGTCTTTTCATTTTAAGCTGTTACAGTATTTTTTACTTTTATATCAGACAGCAGGGTGTGCTGTGGTGGCGCAATGGTTAAGCACAACCCACATTTGGAGGCCTTAGTCCTCAACGCAGCTGTCGCAGGTTCAATTCCCGGCCTTGGCGACCTTTGATGCATGTCTTCCCCCTTCTCTCATTGCCCACTTTCCTGTCAATTAACTATCAAATAAAGGCCACTAGAGCCAAAAAAAATAAAAATCAGACAGCTACATTACGAGTTTGTTTTTTTTATTAGTATGTTTTTTTAAAAAAAGGTAGAACATTGGTGATGATGTAAAAAATTATCTGCTCCTTTATTAATAATTATCCTTTATTACCTGAATTGACAGCGATGATGGTTTAAATGTCCACAGGTTAGCATTCACAGAAGAAATGCTTTGGTATTGGCCCCAATCTAACAATCTAAAAAGCCATTAGTTCCATCTTTTGAGGATTTTTACCCAGAGAATCTATGACAAATAAAATATGAACCGCTTCTAACCTTTTTACAGAACCTCTCTTCAAAAATCCTGAACTATTCCTTTATTAACTGTTTATCAGCTAAGTCTTTTGCATCCTTGTTGTCTTATGTGGGAGAGGGGGAGAAAGGAAATATACCCTCTAAAGTAAGCCAGTTAATAGACTGGCTGCATGTTTAGATTTTGTTGAAAAGGAAACTCTGTGTTGCATTAATTCTGGAGGCATCAACCAAGCAGACCACTGTCACAGAGGGTCAAATTACTATGGAAATTCACTGCTGAGTGATTCTTTTCATTTATTTATTTATTTTAGGATCAAACAGACGCATGTTCCAGAACTGTCAAACCCTTATTTAGGCAAGAACTGTATACCACAAATTTGCATGATTACTAATATTACCATAGAAACAAGACTAGCACAGACACAGTGTGTGAGGTCATTACATTAAAAGCACAAGAAGGAAAACTACAAAGGAAGTTGCCCACTACCTAATGGCCTGCAAATTAATAGCAGAGCCATCAAAAGGCTAGGTGGAGCGCGTGTGCACATGAATGTGTGTATTTGTTTGTGATTGTGGTTTTGACCCTTTTACCTTGTTAGCATGCCGTCTACTGTCCAGTGGTGCACAAAAATCCCCCCGAAAATCAATAGTATCTTGTTTCATTAGAAGATAGATGCTGCACTGCATATAATACATTAATTACTATTATTTATGGAACCCCTGTCGGTACGATAAAACTTTTTGGACTGTGCTCAATTATAACAGGGACTGAAATGAGTTCTTCCACTGTTTTTTCCCGTACACTTTTTATGACTGATCTACTTCTGCATTCTTGTGTAAGTTCAACCATTCAACTTTTACCATATTTTGCTCATTCAGGACACTACGGCTTTGTCTTTTGGTACTGACATCTTCTACGGTAGAGGAAATATTCAACTTTTTGTGATCGTCTTAGGCCCCATTGAAATTAATGGACCATCCCATAATTTCTGAGAAATTTTGCTAAAACTTTGGCTCCCTTTCACATCTAACTACTTTTGTTTATTTAAGCTTTTTCATACATTTTACAGATTTCGTAATATCCCTCTTCTAGTTTTTTGATTGCATTTTAATTTAGACTGGGTTCCCAATCTAAATCTAAACCCAAAAATCCTTCCAACCATAATTCCAACCTTCCTTCCAACATTTAAATTAATTTCCAACATTCATTTCATTTCCCTTTGATGTCAATAAAGTAATTTTGAATTTGAATTGAATTTGAATCCTAATTCCAACCCTCATTAAAACGCTCCTTCAAACCCCATTTACAACCCAATTGTCAACCTTCCTTCCAATGCTATAATGCTATCACTGGTATTTTAGCTAGCTTTACCTTTATAGCTAATTTTAGCTTTTAAGAGGGTGGTTTTCTCACACTGCCTGGAGTATGTGGCTGCATGTCAACATGCTAGTGCTTGCCTAGTTGCTTTCAAAAGGACTTTAGCTAAGCTTAGTGTTTTAGCTAATTTTTGCCTTTACAGGTGTTTTTCAGATTGATCGGAATATGTTACAATAAGTTGCTAGCCTAGATGCTATCCTTGGTATTTTAGGTAGCTTTACGTTTTTAGCTAATTTTAGCTTTTACGTGAGTTTTTTTCACACCGCATGAATTTTACTGTAGGTCAATTTGCGAGGGGTAACCTACATGCTATCATTGATATTTCCAATGATAGCATGCCAGCTTTATTGGCTAGCTTTAGCTTTATACCTCATTCTACCTTATAAACTGCTGCGGCCTTTACAGTTTAGCTTTGAAAGCAGTATTTTGCACCAATTTCTAATAGTCTTTGTGTTGGACTTTGTATTGACTAAAAGTTTTCACTCCTCTTTTACTGTTTTTTTAATATGTTTTGCAGGTTTTATCCTTTATTCCATTGTCCAGGTCTTCTCAATTCTCAATTCAAATACAATAGATACGATTTATGGATCTGATTGTCTGGAACGTGTTTTCCTGTTTTCTTGGTTTACTGACACACATTTTTCAGTCTTGTTTATGTGCTTTAATGACAATAGAATTAATGTAAAAAAGTTTTATTAAGGAAGGTTTTGAAACAGACCAAACTAACAGAAAACTTTTCTTGTTACACAACTACAGTTGAGAAATTAGAGATCTCCCAGGTAGGAGTCCATGTCCTTGTCCAGAAACAATAAAAGCTAATCTGAGCTGGCTTGGGGGTAATTAAAGTGTCTTCCTGTGTTATTGACAATCAGTAGCTGCAAGTCTCCTCTTTGCTCCATTGTCTGTTCCTCATCTCTTTCTTTTCTCCCTTTTCATCCTGTCTGCTTCCTGCAGTGCTCCATTCCCATACGTCAATAGTCATTAAATACAATCTCATTGTTCCATCCCCTGCACATCCACACATGCACGCTTGCACAGAACTCTCACAAATCTGACGGGGTTCGCTTGGTTCAATATTTGATTAATTTCTTGGCCATTGCTCACACGTTGACCCGCTGTTCTCTGATATCCGCCGACCGGTTAGAAAGAGTGAAGGGCACATAGACTATAATACCAGGAGTTACAATATGAAATTGACAAAGTAGGCTGATTACGTAACATAATTTAATACAGGTATTTAGCGGCCACTTTCATCTAAACTGACTTACAACGTGATGAGCAGCAACTAACACTTATAAAAGAAAGAAACTATGGTAAGCCATATGTTTTAGCTCTGAATCTATTTAAAGTGCAGCTGGCATAAAGTAAAGTGTGAAACAGAGTTAAGTTTGTTTTGTGGTCTAAGAAGAGAGAAGTGTACTCAGAATCCACTTATGCTTTGTGTATCTTTAGTACATAAAGCTATTTATAAAGCTATACCCTCACACAGTGGTTCCTAAATAAAGGTTCAGGACCCCACTGGGCATCACAAATCAATAACTATAGGGTCTCGAAATATAAATATATGTATAACATAAATATAAGCCTGTTAAACAGCCAGACAAACACACAGATATGTAGACAGACACACTACCTCAAACATTCAATCAGGGCGACATCAGAAAACATATAGGAAACTACACATGCATATACTCACAGCACAATGATACTGAGTGACTAGAGTATGGTGCTGACTCAGGACCTCCACAATGGACAGAGATGTTCTAATCAGCTCTTCGCATATTGCAACACCTAATGAGGAATGAAATTTATCAGCAGCACAGAATCAGGATTGAGGGATTAAACTCCCTAATTGCTTAAGATGGTTGAACGCTGATGCAGTTTATATGCATACTTGGAATTCACAATTCACACATTTCTTTTTAGGACTGTGTCTGTTTTCCTAACCACACATGAGTATTATTATTGTTTCTTATTTAAAATGTCTAGTTAAAGTATACACAGTTTAGTCATAACATTCAGAGTCAATGTAGCTTTAAAAATCAAAAACTGTGTAAGACCCAATGATGGGTATTAAAGTAAAGAAATATATTTACTAAACACCAATGCTAAGTGACTTCATATCGATATATTATGATTACAGAAAAAGCTGCAGATTCTCATTTGGCATCTAGGTAATAATCAATGGAAAAGAACTGACCCACACCACTGGACAGATTAGTTTCATTGGACTCCACAGAAATAACGTAGTTCTGAAAGAAAAAAACAGTAAGAGCACAGAAATCTTATGTTATACTTGCAATGCTGCAGTGGGGTTTGTTTGTGTATGGAGTAAGAGGTTGGATTTTACCCCAGGTTACTAATTCCACTGTGATGCTACGGTTCAGACATTAAATATTTAGTGTGAAATAAAATAGAAAACAGTAACAACATGCGGAGGACTCTGATTTAGTTTACAGTAAACCTTGAAATATTTTGACGGAAAAATATCAAGAAATCAGAAAGTCAGAATGACTGTAATATTCTGCAAATGTAAGTTGTTGTTTTTTTTCCAAGACTAAATGTCATATGAGTTGGTCGCTTTGTCAATTGTAGTCTAAATTGCCTACATAATGTGCAGAACTACAAAAACCTCTAGTGTTAAGAGATTTTTTTTTTCTTTAACCAGTCTATCAGTAAGTATAAAGATCACTCTAAATGACGGAAATGACTCAAATCCAATACAAATTGTAATTAGTTTCAACATCTCTTTTGGTTTTTGTCTTTAGTTTATAATAAAACCTAAATGGACAGTTAGTAAAGGTGACTTATAAAGCACTTACAAGCAGCAATCCAATTTGAACCAGAAACTCCTGGGTTACAATTCGAGCTCTGAAGACCTGGAGAGAGACGAACAGACCAGCAAGTACAAAAACAGAGCGACTCATAGGTCAGCAAAGTAAAACAGTCAAGAGGTAAACTGACTCACACTCCATGCTCCAACCAAATAGGTACTTCTTAAAAACATCAACTGAAAACATTGCTAAAATATTAACTCAACCATTAAGTTACCTGAGATGAAAGGAGCTCTAGAACTACAGACAATGTTGGCAAAGTCTGTTTAAGCTGTTTACTCTGAGCTGCAGATGGGTGTTTCCTCCCAATCACATCTCTCAGTGCAGACAAGACATCCTCTATAAGAGACAAGATGAAGACATAAAAATGGAAGAGAACGAACAAGAATGGCCAATAATAGGGATGAATGACATTAGGGAGAAAAGCTGCCAGTGACGATGATGATATCCTACAAATATTATGTTTTCCTTGCTTCTATCATTCCTTTATTTTGCACGTGGTAGAAATTAATATAATTGGCCAAAAGTATGACTAGCTAATAAAGTGTGAGCGCCTCCTACCTGTCAATAAAATGGCCATACGTTTACTAAAGTCAAAGCTGTTTTTGGTGATGAAGATATTAATGAAAGAGTGTAATTTTCAATATACTTTAAAGCCCTTAGGAATAAAACGGTCTTAAACATAGGCTTTAAACTGAGATAACTTCATTTGAGTGAAAAAAAAAATCATTCAAATGAAAAAACTTTTACAAATCCCATTTTATCTAGTGTGTGTGTGTGTGTGTGTGTGTATGTGTATGTGCGTGCGTGTGTGTGTGTGTGCGTGTGTGTGTTTGTTTGCTTGAGTGAGAGTTGTTCCAAGCCTACCCATTATCACCGGTGCAGTTTGACTAAGATGCAGCAGCAGTAAATCCAGACACTGACAGAGGTATCCTGATTGGCTGGGGTTGTCTCTGACAGGAGTGGCTTTCCGCAGGTCTCTCTCCAGGTACATCACAAGTCTGTGCAGACAGACAGTGCAGGATTGTACTGGTCCAGTCGGACGTTTACATAGACTCATCGCGGCTAAAAACCGTTTTAATTTTGGGAGCCCCTTTTCAAAGCAGACTTTTCAAAGCAAGAGAAAAGGGAACAGTGCAAATACTGACTCTGTCACCTAATCATTGCAGCTGAAATTGAGAAAAGTTTTTTTTTTAAGCCTGGTATATGATTTTTTTTGTCAGTCTAGGTCAAACTTAGGTCAGAGTTCTGGAACGACTCAAAAGAACATTACAAAAAACAATTTTGAGGTGTGTTTGGGGGCAACTTATCTGAACATGTTTTAACAATTTAACAAAAAGATGTAATAATTAGATTAAAGAACATTAGTTAGGATGTTCAGAAGCAAGAGTTCCAAGAGGAGAATGATTCCCACATCAAAATTGGTAAAACAAAGTCTGGTATGAAAACCACCTGTGCTTCCATCACACCTCAGCAGAATCACAGGCTGATGACTGCCTCCATGCTCCGCTGAATTAATGCAGCATTCAAGCAAAAGGAGCCTCAACCAAGCATGAAGTGCATAGAAATGAACATACATTTCAGAGAGCTGGCATTTCAGATTAAAATTTATTTTATTATTAATATTATGCAGCATTTTAATTTCTGAGAAAGAAATTTTTCGCTTTCATTACCTGTAAGCCATAATCATCCAAATTAAAGAAGAAATAAAGACTTGACCTGCTTCACCTTATGCATAATGAGTCTTTGTAACATAAGTTTCTCTTTCAAAATATAAAATGTTCTTACATGTACCTGTTTATGAGTATTAGCAATCAGTTAATCAAACTTTTAATAACCTCCTTAACTTTGGCCTACAACTCATATCACATAGTTTAACATTCCAGATCGTCAAACCTTTAAATGCAGCTGTGCAAAGCCAATATAAAGACAGATTAGAATAATCATAAAAACACTCATATAGTAAAGTTGGATCTTCAGTCCAGATTATAGAAAGAAAAACTATGATTTATATACACGAAACAGCCCAACCATATTTTCCATAGCATGATATTAATGTTTGAGGACTGCTCTTTTACAAGACGCCATCAAAAGTTGTGAACAAGCCAGCCAGCCTGCTGACCAGAGAGGCACCGCCAGCTTACCACCATTTTGTCACTGACGGCCGGAGACTCAGAAGCTGCTCACATGAACTGACCCACAAGTCGCTCGCTGTGCGGCTGAGTGGGTGTGACTGGATATGGTGAAAGCCATCATATTCCACCCTCGCTGCCAATCTTGACACCTCTTGGTGAGATTCGAGCGAGTTTATCTCACAGAGACAGGCACGCATATTTTCATGTCATCGAGGTGCTAATTAAACACAACGCAAGGCTGCGAGAGAGTGAGACTAAGGCAAATATGTGTCTCTGTGTGGCTGAGTCATGTGGCGTTCTCAGTGGGAGAGAGACAGGCAAACCAAATCTAAACGCTCCAACTCTGCTTACAGAAGGAGAGCAAGCGAGGCGTGTGAAGAAGCAGGCAGAAATAATAAAAAAAGAAAAACAGCCAGAGGAAATGAAAAACAAAAACATTGAATTTCTATAATCCTGCTCTAATGTAATAAAAGAAGACGTATTTACATGCGGTATGATAAGGGAATCGACATACGATGTTTCGGGGATGGCTGTGGATTGTGGAGAACGGTGGGGATCAAAAAGATCACAAACCGATTGTGTTACATTTCCATTTTCTTTCACAGTTTATTTCTGTAACCCAAATTTGTATGAAATAATTTTTCTACGAGACATGTTCAGAAAGACAGTGTGCAGGTGAGAGGCATAACGGATCACATTCCCCTGCAAGTTATTTATAAAAAGATGTGACAAATGAGAGTTAAACAACTGTAGGTTTGCAATGCTGCAGCCTATTTAAAGTTAAAAAACTTGTTTCCTGAGATACTTTACATCCCAGAAGAATGAGTAAAGAATTTATTTTCCACCTAATATGACAATTTGACAATATGACAAAGTTAGATGAATACATAAATGAAAATTGTAATTTTTGTAACACTTGTAAAACATTTGTTGCCGTTCATTCAGGCTGCAGGAGAGAACACAGCTTTCAGGAGACAACAGGAAGGTTGAACTTGACTGTAGAAAAGATCCTATGTTTCATCTGTTTGAGGTTTAATCCTCTGTTTCTCATGATATGTGCTCGATTTTGTTGGCAGCTTTTTGAAAATCTTAAATTTAAGGTAAGGAACTAAAGCATCTAGAATACACACACAATCAGCTGCTTTAGCAGCAATAGCCATATAATCACCAATTTAAGAGCCCAGAGACAGCTTAAAATGTATTTATTATTTTTTTTAAAGCATGGGTAAGTCATGTCTTATAAACTGGCTTGTTATTTGCACACACAACGTGACCTTGCGTCTGCTCAAAATAAGAGCACTGACTACTCACCGCAGGAAGGCTATAAACAATTATTTTCAATACCATTTTCTACTTTTTGATACTGTAGTTCTCAACGATAAATTGCACTTGGCTGAAACTGGTTTGAGCAGGTCATAGTTTCAAAAAAAAAAAAAAAAAAGGGCTTTGTAAATCGGCCATCAGATTTTATTTAGTGCATCTCTCCCCTGGAGTATAAAATCCTTCTCCAAGCTCCCATCCGAATATATTTCTAAAGAGGGCCAGTTCAAGAAAAAGCTGAGCAAACATTGTGAGGAGCCAGGGGGAAAGAACAGATGAGACACCAATAAGAGAGAATTATAATGATTCATGTGATTTGAACATATAGTTAAATTGAAAAGCCAAGTGGGAACAGGGTTGTATGGATGCATGGATGGAGGAATCACACATTTCATCATATGCTCCTGACACATGCAATGCTGCAATGCAGCAGGGTGAACCACAGGACAAGCTGCTAATAAACGGTTTGAAGTTTGAAAAAGACTAAACTGTATGTGGCTAAGTTAAATGTGTTGGGAAAATCTATTTATATGAATATTCCCATAGCTTCTGCATTAGCTTAACACAAAAGGTTATAAAAACTATAACTACTTTGCTAAAATCTGCAGGCAGAATTTTGATGAAAGAAGTCTCTTCTGTAAACGTTTCCGCAAGACATGTGCGATTTACAGCATCAGAATGTGCTGTTTTGACCCAGATTTGGTTTTTAATCTCAAAAATGTTTTTAAACATTTAATCTAAAAATACGTCTTCAGCCATAGAGAACAGATATCCATTTGTCTTACCAGAGAGTACACTGAAGAGGTCATTTATATAGCAGTGTTGTTGGATAAGAAAACATAGCTGTACTGAAAGCTACAGTTAAATAATTAAAGGGAAATCTCACCCTGAAATGGAATTCAAAAATGCAACGTGTTTGTTCTCCGACAGTTCAGGCTGTGTGTGAACGTATACCGCTACATTCCAGAGAAGCTAATTAGCCAATGGTTTGCCAGACTGACTGCAGCTAAGAGGACGTTTCTCCACTCTGAGCCTCGGTGCAGTCAGACAGCAGGAGGCTGAGCAATGAAATGTGGTGAGTTGAGAAAAGCGCAGCAGGCAGGCGTCACATTTTAGAAACAAGGAATAAAGTACAATTTAAAAAGCAAAATGTCTTTAATTAGCCAAGTAGAAGTTTTATATCCTCTTAGGCTGCTCTAGGTTGTTATCTTGTAACAACTCAGTTACAAATAGATGTCGTAATGTCAGTTTGTTGTTGAGTTCTTCAAACTGATCTACCTCGTGCCAAATACTCTAGATTAAGATGGATAAATAATCAAATGATGTGTAACAGAGAGTAAGTTCTCTATTCAACTGTGTGTGAACTATAGTGGTGTACAGTGTTTACCTGTGCTGACAGCAGTAGAGCAGCATGTGTGTGTTGTCCTGTGTTAGCAGCAGTAACACCAGTAATGCTTTGGCTCTCGTCACGGCAGATGGGCTCTCCAAGCAACGCAGCACTTTCAGAACCAGATCCTGCAAAACAGAACCACCACTGAATCTTAAGTCTGCAGGCTGATGATTGTTGAAAAACAACTGGCAAACCACACCGTTCCAGTTAAAGGAAAGCTTAAAAACCTCCACATGTTTATGTTTGTGATGGTAGGACAGAAGAGGCTTTTTCTAGCACCCTTAACCACCAATTAGCATGCAGACGACATCAAAGTTTGCTGTTTTGAGACTCCATGACCCCTACATGCCATTATTTGTTGCACTTCTGAAACAGTGACTTTTGGAGATTTTCTTCTGCATTTACAGTCGTGCTTGGTGACAAGTTTAAACTTGACAGAATGGCTTAAACAAATGGACCTCTGTGTCGTATATTTAAACCATAGCGAAACAGAAATCACAGATTACTAATGAGACGTTCCTGGGCTCTCACCAGCTGAAAAAAGTGAAACATAAATTATAGAACTGCTTTCTTTAGCGCATTTTAACATTTTAGGGGTACAAACAATTGGGCTACCAGTGATTTTAGGGAAGTAAAGAAACAAAAACAAGAGCTGTGCTTAAAACTGTAAATGATAAAAAAAATAAAATAAAACATTTTAGGCTGTGTTAGGCTGCACTTTATGACATACAAACGTTTCAACAGCCATTCCTTTAGCAGAAGTAGTACTAACTCCTTGGGAAAAAAAAAACAAAAAACGGACTGACCAACATTCATTAACAGCACCATTATCATCAACACCATACACAACCAAGTGTGTGTGTTTGCGTGTGCGCGTGTGTGTGTGTTTAGGAGCAAATGTGAAAGCATGTTCTAGTCTGTGTGGTGCAACACACCAAGTTAATTAATTTCAAAGCCCAGCCGTGTGCTCTTAGCTGATAAGTCCCTCCCCAGTACCCATAATGCTTTGCTGAAGTAGAAGACTGCAGCGTATTCATTCAGCCAATTAGCCCAGATACTGACACACTCAACAAATTAGTGTTTGTGCTTCTGAGCACACAGTCACAGTCCCTCTTCACACATGCATGTTCACGCACACACACACATGCACACACACACACGCACACACACACACACACACACACACACGCAAACAGACAGAGTTCTGTGTAAACAAACTCCTGGACTGTCTGTCTTTGTGCCAGGGGAGAGAAAGAGGGTGGGGGGGTGAATGCATATCAGTTTATAATTAGAGCAGAGTTGAAGTACTAAGTTTGTATTCTGGTGTTAAATTGGAAGTGTTCAATGCAAATAAATTCAGTTCAGAGTCAATTACCAATTCTAGACTGCAAGTTAAAAACCTTCAAATCAATTTCAGCCCCTCTGCCTCCCCAACATTAACACATCACATACACACTAGATGGGTTTTCTCATGAAAAATTAAATAAGTAACTCCTGACAAATTAGTTCATGCACAGTTCAGATTTAGTTCATGAACTATGTAGAAAGAGGAGAGGAGGTAAACCAGCGAAGAAAGAGAGAGGATGAATTGTAAGGATTTTACATTGAATAGTATGGTTTTTATATTGCGCATTTATTGATGAGTGTTTCCAATCATAACCAATGTATTAACAAGATTAAGAACATTTCTCACTAAAACTCTTGTGCTCATCGGCAAGAACCTGAATAATCACAACATATCTTGTGCAATGCCATATTAAAACAGCGCTGCTGCTTGATAATATGCAGCCCGAATAGCTTCAAGTTTGACATTTGAACTTCTTGTAATATCTTGCACATGTGCTTCGGAGAGTGCACATACCCGGCTCTGTGTGATCCGATGTTTGTGGATGTGTGAGGCGAGGAGGGCAGAGGCCACGGCAGTGAGCAGGTGCTGCTGCACCCTGGACCCTGCTCCACCTATGCCCTCCAAGACGGCTGCGGGGCCACAGGTGTCAATCACCGACAAGAAGACTGCTGGGTCCAGCCGGGTTAGCCTTGAAAGAGACTGGGGAAACAGGCGGATGAAAACGCGCGCTCATCATGAACTATTTTACCGCATGTCGTTCATGAATTATGAGTCCGCGTCTTTGTAAAGCTACAGTATGTTGCGCTTGGGGTCTGGAGTGTTAGAGGTCAAAGAAAATACATGAGTAGGTATCATGTAACAACAACTAACTTGTAAAATTTGCCCCACACGTGACAATAACAAAAATAATTAACATATTGGAGTGCATTGGTGGGTGATTGAAAATATGGCATGGTGTAATAATTAACAGTGATTATACTTCCAGACCTTCAGCATTCTGCACATTTTGTCATGTTAAAGCCTTCAGGGTATTAGACTGGGATTTAATGGGAGTGACAAATACAATAACTGCATAATTATGAAGGTAATTAAGCACAAATATTATGAAAATAATAAACTGTGCAGTTTTACTAAAAATATAAATCTGCAAAATGTAATACACATTTGCATTCAGTCCCTTTTAATTAACTACTCCTAAATAAAATCCAAGACAACTGCCTTCAGAAGTCGTCTAATTAATAAAAGCATCCACCTGTTTCCGACTTCATCTTGGAATAAATAGAGATTCATGTGTTGCACAACTGCAAACCATCACCTTAAACTGGCAGGCTGTGCCAAATGGAACAAATGGAAATAGGAAGTAATATTTGTAATTTCCTTAGAGCTGTTTCGGACATGACACTGAAGACCCATCCCTATGGTAACACATCACAATGGCATAATTATGCTGTAGGGATATTTTTTTTCTGGTGAGGAAGACATATGATGGGAAAAAGTATGGACACTGGACAATTCTGGAAAAACACAGTTAAACCTCAAGCCCAGACATGAGACTGAGACGGAGGTTCACTTTCCTGTTGGACATACAGCCAGAGTTTCAATAGAACGGTTTCAATCAAATCATGTTTAATGTTTGCATGGCTTAGTCAAAGCCCAGGCCTAATTTTAATGGAGAATCTGTGGCAGAACTGGAAAAAATGGTGTTCACTGATGCGTTCTATGTAATATGGCTGAAGTTAATATTAAAAAGAACAGGCAAATGTAACTGACATTTTTAAACAAATAAAAATCTGAAAAGCATTTACTATTTTATTATGTACCAATCAGTCTTTGTCTTTTATATAGAACCTCAATAAGATGCATTACAGTCTGTGGTAATATCACAACAAATTTTTGCTACCCTTGCACCTCTTTGTTTTAGGCTGCAAGGTTTAGCGTTTTAAAATACACTTTAAAAACCAAGAGTAAAAAAATGTAAGCAGGGAAGCTTTTTTCTTTCAGTTTCACCTTGAAGCTGCACTAGATGAGAACATTTTTACTCAATGCCTATTTTCTCCGCTTTACAGAAGGTACACGACATGCCTTTGTGTTGAGTGAATGTCGCCAAGCGAGCTTACAGAGATGGCAGTGACTCTGACGGCCTCCGCCGTCGAGTGACTGAACAGGTACCACAAAGCGGAGCCCATCTCTGTGGTAGCCAGGTGACGAGAGAGACCAGAGACGGTCGAAGAGACGTTTTCTACAGCTTTTGCAGCCATATGATGAACCACAGCATCATCCTGCAAGAGAGACACACAAACTCAGCTCCAATTTTTAGCAAGGGTTTAACAGCGCACCAAAATCATGACTCTGTGTGATTTCAGTACATTTCAATGAAGAAACATAAATGAAAATGTTAGTTTTTTCACTTCAGTCAGCATTAAAAAAGTAATTTTTTTTTAAATTTCTGAAATCATCATTTAATATAAAGTGAAAAGTTGGTACTGATGTTTTGACCCATGCCCAATGATAGATCATATACTATGATATAGTTAATGTTGATATATAGAAATTTTTGAATAAGACCGTGTTTGAAAATAGAATATGCTTAAATCTCTTTGGAGTTATTTTAATAATTTGACAGCGCAGGAGACAAAATTTTCATGGAACTGTAATTTTCACTTTTTACCAACCATTTCTCCAAAAGACATACTGATGCCATATCCTGGTAAGTATATTTTTCCATTACTAAGAATAAATCATCACACATCCTGCAACCATTGCAGTCCTTCAGACTTCGTTCTGAATACTGCAGCAATTTACAAATACTAAATTAAATTAACACAACATAATTTCAGTAAACACACAAAGTATCGTATTTGTGCTTGTGTGCTGCATATGTACGGTATGCAACCGCACACCTTTGCCTGAGCAGAGAATAGCTTCTTCTTTTCAGACAAAGGGGACAGGCTAATGAAATTTCTGTGGCTGAGGAAATTAGTTTTTCCCCACAAGAGTCATTGTGGAGAAAGACAGGAAGTACAACAGATGTGATTGCCTCTGTCAGGTTGTTATTTCGTTTCACCGTGTTACATCACTTTGACGCTACTCTCTCCAAGGTGTGAGATGCAATGGGACTTCTTCCAAAATAAATCTTACTACATTTTCAGGAAAAATGGCTAACATTAATAGCGGCGACATTAATTCCACCACGCCAATTTATCATGGTCATCCTGTAAAAGTAGAGCAGGTGACACTGATGACACTTTCAACTAAACCCCATTTTCGCATTTCACCCTCTAGCGTACAATTAGTTTGCAGATTACCATATAAATAGTGAGGAGATGCATTTTTGTTTCTCAGTCAGTGAATGCACCATAACCAAGCAAAAACAGGTTACCGTAACAGCAAAACTTTTTAGTACGGGAAGGAAAAATGTAAGTATGTATTTTTGTTACACTGAGGTGTTTTAAAATAAATGCAGATAAGATTTGGAAAGCTATTCTAAAGTAAGAAGTCTTTTGAAAACATGTCCAGACATTTCTGTGGTTCATTCAGGTTGCATGCCAAAGAGATGGTTGTTCGACTTCTAGTAGACAACAGGAAGGTCAAGTGGAATTCAGTAAAGTTGTTTTGTTTCTGGGTTGTTTTTTACACTGTCAACCTTTTTCTTTCATAAAACATACTGGTTTTGGACATGCTGGCACCTTTTGGAAATCTCAGAGTTAAAGGGTTGGACTTTTAAAAAAAAAAAGTTCTGTGGAGTAGGTCCCTTAACTGTAGTAGAAAGATGTTAACAAGCTAACATGTTTCTAATTTGCTGAATAAGCTGACCATGAGTCAGGATAATTTTCAAACAATTACAAAACCTGGAAAGCACAACAACATACCACATTTAACAAAGCTGTACAACTTATGCAGAATCCTCAAATAGACTCTGTTCTCGGCAGAGCTAAAGCGCCCTGGCAAGTCACAGCTGATTGGAGGGATTGGCTGATTGCAGCCGACAGGCTGAAGCAGAGAAACCTGCCATAGAAATAACAGAAGTTGTTTGGCTGAACAAAGTGCAACGATGGTTGGTTGAGAAATTATAATTTGCTGATATTTGCTAACATGTTGTTATATCCCGCTGCTATGAAGATTTTAATTTTAAGTTGTTTTAAATTTTTAAAGTATGGTAAAAGAGGCAATGTATGTCTGTCTGTTGTGATCCTGCAGTTCATATGCTTACTTAATTCACAATAAACTTAAGTTAAAGTTTAAAATGTCAACAATATAATCACGTTGCATATTTTTAAAATAGTGACTCCACGGGGTGCTGTGGTGGCGCAGGGGTTAAGCACAACCCAAACTCTGATCACTGCACGTTAATTATGCTATGAGAAAAATAAGTTTCGAATTAATTCTTTAAGTGATATCTAAAGAAAATTAGCACTAATTTTCTTTAGATATGTGTCATTTACAGGACCACAGTTTTCAAACCACCTATATTAATAAAACATTAATACAAGCAAACACCGACCAAAGTAATGAACATAAATTAGTAAAAAGAGAAAATAAAGATGAAACTGAATAAATTACTTAAAAATATATTAAAACACAAATATAAAGCTTCCGCAAGTATTTGCGACAGAGATATTACCAAAACAGCTGCTTTCAGCACAAAACCTGCATTTCCACTTCAGATGTTACAGAAATTCAGGTCTATTTTTAACATATTTTGAGGGATTAAATTTGACACCCACCCAACACGTTAACAAAACTGACCTGCTTTCTGACCTAATGAACAGAAAGCAGGTCTTCTTAGGACCGCAGAACCTAAAGAGCTACCTGTGGCACACAGCGGTGGCCGGGCTGTGATCCATTGTCACAACCATGTTGCGCATTAAAAAGATACATCATATTCAACCAACACAAGGACTCTAATGATAACTGACAGCCTAAATCACCAACCTATTAATTCAATATACGACATCACAGCATGTTCCCAACACCAGGGGACTAAGCGGAGTGACAGCATAATGAATCCTCTGGCACCCCTTTGGGAGCCAGCGGAATGGTCTGTTCCAGTGTTCCCCAGGCTGTGCGGAGCAGCTCACTAATGAGCCCACGGGGGAGCCCCCACTGTCTGTGTGTTTAATAGACTGTAGCCTTGCCAGGCACTACACAGGGAGAGAGGGTGGAGGTGGTAGTGAGGGTGGTGATGGTTTCGAGGGGGGGGGAGGAGGGTGTTACATGAAGAGAGAGAGTGAGAAAGATATTCTTACAAGTGATGAGAAACAAGCAGAAATTTCATCATTGTAATTCAGAAACGGGAAACGCATGAAGAAGGGAGAAGGGAAAAGGTGATGAAGTTATCCTCAATGTAATATGACCATGAAAAACAGAAGGACATTTATTATACTTGGCGTCATGGTTAAGAATAACACCAGTGGATTATTGGTTGTGGAACATAACACAAGGAGAATTTGTCATAGATGCATTTTTTGTGAAATGACTTAAATTCTGTTGCGTTTGTGATATTGTCCAAAAAAATAAAATGCAAAATGTCCAAAAAATAAAAGAGCATTTGACACAATGAGAGATGTACGGATATCCGTTACTATGCAACAAAAACTTCAACAGATTCTATCATTAAAACATGTTTCACTTGTAAGCATATTACCATATTACAGTGGCAAAATAAAGAGAATATTTGTAGCTCTAAACAAATGGGGTTTTAGCCTTGATTTAAAGAAACTGTTTCAGTTTTTTTTTTTTTTTTTTTTTTGGGAGTTTGTTCCAGATTACTGGAGCATGGAAGCTTCTCCATGTTTGGTTTTGGTTCTGTGGATGCAGAGTAGAGCAGAACCACAAGACCTGAGTGAATGAGTTTGTAATCGTCTTTATGTTTCTCTGAAGGTTCAGGCCCATGTCCATCACTACGCCCACATGTCGGATCTAGTCAGCAGTTTCTAGCTGCAACAACTGAACGAGTAATTTAGTTTTAGCAAAACTGAGCTCATTAATATTGATGCACTGACAGACATTGATGCCGTTTTATCTACAAAAGGTGAAGCGCTGCGATTTATGCAAGACCTAGAAGAAAAACATATTTACACAAGCTCTGGTTCACAAATCTGTCAACAGCTTTGAAGTTGTTCTCATAATATTAAATATGAGTTAAATTATATGTACATATGTTGTAAAGATTAATTTATTTGTAAGTGCCTTAAAAGTCAAACTAAATAAATTAAGACCTATTTTTGCCCATTCTTACTTCAAGCTGGCTCTATTCAAATTCAAATTCAAAAATGATTTATTAATCCCAAAGGGAAATTAAACGTTGTAGCTCATTGATTCGGGTTCTTCAAAGAGTTATTGAACATGGTGATGGTTGATGGCAACAGCAGTCAAGATCAGTCCCATTTGATGGACAGCATCATTTAATCACAATTTTCAGTCTTGCCACCGATTCTAAATTGGTGTAGGTGTGAACTGTGCCATCCCAACACATAAACAGGATTCTATCTAAAAAAACTACAATGATGCTTCAGATGTATTTTTAGGCCACCATGCTTTCTAAAAGCTCAACCACCACCCCTGCCTTAAGTCTTTTGCCTCTTTAAAGATCTGCTTCTAAGATCAGCTTTTGTTTAACTTCATCCATCTTCCCAACCCAGCAGCTTTCCTGTCGTTTCTAACAAAATTACTCCCTTAATCGTTATGCTGCCACCACCTTGTGTCATTGTAAGGCTGGTGTATTCAGGGTGATGCACAGTTCTATTTTTCCACCACACGGCATTCTGCGTGTAATTGTTAAAAGTTCAACTGTGGTGTAATCTTACCAGAGCACCTTTTTAGACATGTTTGCCAAGTATCCCTTAATGGACTGCAGGTAGGACTTCTTATGGCTTTTCTTTCAACAATGACATTCTTCCATAAGTTTAGGTTAGTGACCATATCTTAGTGGATTTGCAGTTGTTCTAAACTCACTCCTTTTGTAAGTGGTTGTTATTTTCTTTCCTCTTTCTGCCTTTAACCTCCCAACAGTCTTATTCCTCTGCTTTGTCCCTTCATCTTCGTGACACTGTTTGTCTACTAATGTTCACAAATGCATACAGAGGAGCTGTATTCAGGATGGAATTAAATTACACATAAGTGGATTTTTTTTTACACTAATTACTGCTCTGAAGGCAAATGATTTCAACTGAATTCATCCTAACCTTTTAAGTACAAAACACTTTGAAAATCATGCTTTTGTTTCCTTTCATTTCATAATTATGGGCTACTTGGTGACAAAATGTGAACGAATTCAGAG